CTGGTACTGCACCCACCATCATCTGGCAGCTCCCTTGTGGTGTCACGATGTTGGTCCATACGGCGGGATACCGCTTTGTGTCACCGTGAACACAGGAAATTGACATCTCCCTACCCCGTTCGGTCTCCAGGTTCAGCAGGCTCGTGGTCACGAGCGTAACCATGCTTCCGGAGTCTAATAGCGCTTCCGTGTCGTGTCCGTCAACCTTCACCGGGACCATGGGTGCAGTTGATTCATGATGCGCCCAACAGGAGGTGACATAGTTCACGGCGTGACCCACCTGGCCTCCGGTGCTAGCTGATGGCCTCGACTCTTCTCGAGCAGGGTAATTCCAGGCAATGTGCCCCCGGCTGCCACACTCAAAACACCTCCGTTGGTCTCCATCTACCTGGGGTCGTTGGTTGGCGGGTCGGCCCTTCCCCAGCCATCTCTCCACGGGTTTGCGGTCCCTTGGCCCTGCCGACTGTCGGTTCAGGGTACACCGCGGTGGGGTTGTCCTTCCGTCCCCTCGCACAGGTCGTCGACTCGTCCCGGCTCCCCCTCAGTAGGCCCACCAAGGAGGGCCTACAGCAGCACCTAGATCTTCTGCACAGATTCTGTCAGACCTGGGCCCTGATAGTAAATCTCAGTAAGACAAAAATAATGGTATTCCAGTAAAGGTCCAGTTGCCAGGACCACAAATACAAATTCGATCTAGACATCGTTGCCCTGGAGCACACAAAAAACGATACATACCTCGGCCTAAACAACAGGCAACTTCCACAAAGCTGTGAACGATCTGAGAGACAAGGCAAGAAGGGCCTTCTATGCCATCACAAGGAACATAAAAATCTAATTTTGATAATCTCCCATATCTATTGGGTGAAATACCACAGTGTGCAATCACAGCAGCAAGATGTGTGACCTGTTGCCACAAGAAAAGGGCAACCAGTGAAGAAAAAACACCATTGTTAATACAACACATATTTATGTTTATTTATTTTCCCTTTTGTACTTTAACTATTTGCACATTGTTACAACACTGTATATATACATAATACATTTATTCTTTTGGAACTTTTGTGAGTGTAATGTTAACTGTTCATTTTTTATTGTTTATTTCACTTTTGTTTATTATCTATTTGACTTGCTTGACATATGTTTCCCATGCCAATAAGGCCCCTTAAATTGAAATTAAATTGAATTGAATTGAGAGAGAGAGAGAGAGAGAGAGAGAGAGAGAGAGAGAGAGAGAGAGAGAGAGAGAGAGAGAGAGAGAGAGAGAGAGAGAGAGAGAGAGAGAGAGAGAGAGAGAGATTATCAAAATCCAGAAAAGAGCCGTTAAATTCTATAACCACTTAAAAGGAAGCGATTCCCAAATCTTCCATAACAAAGCCATCACGTACAGAGAGATGAACTTGGAGAAGAGTCCCCTAAGTAAGCTTGTCCTGGGGCTCTGTTCACAAACACAAACAGACCCCACACAGCCCCAGGACAACAACAACAACAACACAATTAGACCCAACCAAATCATGAGAAAACAAAAAGAGAATTACTTGACACATTGGAAAGAACAAACAAAAAAACAGAGCAAACTAGAATGCTATTTGGCCCTAAACAGAGAGTACACAGTGGCAGAATACCTGATCACTGTGACTGACGCAAACTTAAGGAAAGCTTTGACTATGTACAGACTCAGTGAGCATAGCCTTGCTATTGAGAAAGGCCACCGTAGGCAGACCTGGCTCTCAAGAGAAGACAGGCTATGTGCACACTGCCCACAAAATGAGGTGGAAATTGAGCTGCACTTCCTAACCTCCTGTCAAATGTATGACCATATTAGAGACACATATTTCCCTCAGATTACAGCGATCCACAAAGAATTCAAAAACAAACCCAATTTTGATAAACTCCCTTATCTACTGGGTGAAAAACCACAGTGTGGCATCACAGCTGCAATATTTGTGACCTGTTGCCACAAAAAAAAGGGCAACCAGTGAAGAACAAACACCATTGTAAATGCAACCCATATTTATGTTTATTTATTTTCCCATTTGTACTTTAACTATTTGCACATTGTTACAACACTGTATATATACATAATATGACATTTGAAATGTCTTTATTCTTTTGAAACTTCTGAGTGTAATGTTTATGTTAATATTTATTGTTTATTTCACTTTTGTTTACTATCTACTTCACTTGCTTTGGCAATGTTAACACACGTTTCCCATTCCAATAAAGCCCTTAAATTGAAATTGAATTGAATTGAGAGAGAGAGAGAGAGAGAGAGAGAGAGAGAGAGAGAGAGAGAGAGAGAGAGAGAGAGAGAGAGAGAGAGAGACAGAGAGAGCAGTAACACCAACAGGATATCCCCCTCCCTCATATGTGTGTGTGTGTATGCCTGTTTGTTTGTTTGTGTGTGTGTGTGTGTGTGTGTGTGTGTGTGTGTGTGTGTGTATGCTTGGATAGTGTGTGTGTGTGTGTGTGTGTGTGTGTGTGTGTGTGTGTGTGTGTGTGTGTGTGTGTGTGTGTGTGTGTGTGTGTGTGTGTGTGTGTGTGTGTGTGTGTGTGTGTGTGAACTCAGTAGGGATAAGTGGGCGATGCTGGCCTGTGGAGCGAGTGGGGCAGGGGCAGGATTAGGGCCTGTGACATGCCAAGCATTGCAGACTGGCGAACAAAGGGGATCCTGTGTGGACTCAGCAGCACTGGGTGACCTGTGGGTCACTAAGCCCTCACACCATGAGCCCTTCACCACTCAGTGAGCTCCACAGCCGGAGCACCACTAACGCCACCCTGCCCTCTCCTCTCCTCTCCCCACCCCACCATACCCCACCCCCTCGGCATGCAAACCTTCACTCACTACTGCCCCTCATCGCATGCAGGAAGGTGAGCAAGTATTAATATTGACAAAGCTCTTTTGATACATATATCATGTTTTATACAGTCTCAAATGTGATTAGAAATATTGTGCACATTACATCAATAAATATTCTGAAAATACATAAAAAGAAGGGAGCATGTGAATATTTTTATTTTCTAATTCCGTTTTGTGATATATGAATAGTGTGTTTTTGCAACAATGCATAGCCTAATTCAGTGTACAGTAAGAGTAGGCTTCTAAAACAGATAATTAGAGGGGCGGCAGGTAGTTTAGTGGTTAAGAGTGGTTAAGAGGTCGCTGGTTCTAATCCCCGAGTCGACTAGGTGAAAAATCTGTCGATGTGCCCTTGAGCAAGGCACTTAACCCTAATTGAAATCCTGTGTGAAATGAAAAAATATGGCTGTATGGGCAGCACAGGTCCGCTGCTGCCTAGATGGCGCTGTCTTGCGGAATGCGCCTTGTCCACAGTGTTTATAGGGTCTCTGCACCATTAGGAATAAGAGCACAGATGGAACAATGAGACAGATATTTCACCGGATGTATAAATGTGAAGCATCCGCTTGGAGTTCCCACTCACTACCAAATATGTTAGTGAGGGGAAGCCCAGTGGCCGGCAGTGGGAGAACATTGAACGAGAAGGATTTTGGCCGACATTGCACATTTTATCATTGATGAAACCTTTGTTCTCAATACAGTTTTCTGTTCCCAAAACTATAATATGTTACGAACAGAGTGGACTAAGTTTTCTAGACTTTACCCTTTGCTAAAGTTTCTAAATGTTTTGTTTAGAAGTGCAAAGGCGAATTGAGTTATTGCACCCGGAAATATGCAAATTTATGCTAAAATCCGCCAATAGGATCTCGCTAGCTCGTGCTTGGCTCTGCCCACCTCCTTGCTTGTTCGGGCCCACTATGACTCATTTGTGGCCATTTGAAACGACAGGTTGTGGTCTATCTTGTTTAAGTTATACAAATATTTGATAAGAGCGCTTGTCGAGTGGTTAGCATAGCGAGGTACCCCAACTCGGAGAAACCGAAGCGTAGGTCGAACCTTGCCTCGTTTTAATTCACATATGTATTCATTTTTGCCCCGTTTTTTTTTTTCTGGTAGAATATTCTCAAACCTCGTTATTAAATTGTATTCCGCGGCATGTAGTTAACGTGCTGTCGAACGTTACCGGCTTTGCGCCAGGAGTGAAGACCAATCAATCACCGGTTACCTTCTCCGCTAGCTAGTTTTGTGTACAGTGTGGTGTTGCTGAGGCAAGGGAAAAAACGCAGCGGTCACCAAGTGACTGGATCTTGTGGCGTGAGCACTAATGCTGTCTAGCAAACACGGCGAATCCCAGTCGCCGGTGTAAAGCGCGGTGTGTAAAATACATCTTGCAGCCCTCGACCCAGATAATAATAATAATAGTAATAATAGATAGGTCGATATCGGGGGAAGCGCAACGCAAGGATGTTGCAAATACTGGCTTGCGGCGTCGTAATTTTTCCCGGTCTCTTCTTCATCTTTCGGAGGGTACTCCCGTCCATTTTCAAACAGTGGACCGATGCCGACGTTGTACTGGTCAGCGAGAGGTAATTCTTATTTTATTTTATTCACATGGTAAATGTTTAATCCTGGACATAGCTGGTCAAGCAGTAACTGGCCCTAAGAGGCTATGCTAGCTAGCACGGCCATGCAAATTGATAAAATAAATAGCTGAGTCTCGAACTTGGCATGGGTTTTAACCGAATTAGCCACAGTCGCTATTATAACGGTGGCTAGCCCAGTGAATTACAACATAGTAACACCATGGGAATATTGCTGCATCTTGGTCTTAATGAAACGATCACACGCGCAGGGGTCAGTTAGATGCTCACTTTGAACCCTGTCACTCTCTCTAGCTAATTGATAATCCCCCTTCAAACTCGAGCGCTGTGGTGGCTACTGAGTTATGCAATGTAAAGTGCTGAACTACAGTATACTGAGCGGATCGCTTGGCCTTAATCACGCTCCTATTAATTCGCTAATGTTCATCTAACAGAAAATGCATTTCTTAGATGCATGTGTTGATGCCTCGGGAGGATACATTGCTAACTAGCTAGCTCCGTATCCCGGTCAAGTCAGCCTTGAATGCCTCACCAGTTTGCTAATGTCACATAGCCCGATAGCGGGAGACGCTATCGGGCATTATCTGGCTGCAATAACGTAGGCTATAGGCTAGGTTACAAAAAAAGACAACGATCACGTTGAATGCCCATCAGCAACGTAATTAATAGTTAATTAATAACTTTATACGTTTGTTTTACGATCTCTTGGCCTGCTACTGTATGTGTTGTATTTATTTTACCTGCCTGTTAAAGTGCCAGTGGGTCAGTGCGCGTTTGGATAAGCTGCAGTGTGTTCTGCTCGAGCTTTTCTACCTCTGGCGGTATTTCAGGCAGTGACATTTTTTTTTACAGGTTCTATAACAAGATAAGACAAGACCCTATCTCGTGCCACATACACTATATATACAAAAGTATGTGGACACCCCTTCAAATTATTGGATTCGTCTATTTCAGCCACACCCGTTGCTGACAGGTGTATAAAATCGAGCACACAGCCATGCAATCATTGGCAGTCGAATGGCCTTACTGAAGAGCCCAGTGACTTTCAACGTGGCACGGTCATAGGATGCCACCTTTCCAACAAGTCAATTCGTCAAATTTCTGCCCTGCTAGAGCTGCCCGGTCAACTGTAAGTGCAGTTATTGTGAAGTGTAAACGTCTAAGAGCAACAATGGCTCAGCAAGAAGTGGTAGGCTGCACAAGCTCACAGAACGGGAGTGCTGAAGCGCATAGCGCGTTAAAATCGCTGTCCTCCATGTGATCATACTTCTTAACTCTTGCGTTGTGTTTTTTAAAGAAAGGAATGCTCAGCCAGCGATCCCAGTTGATTGGTATTTATTTGCTTGCATATAATTATCACACTGGGCTTTTGTAATCAAAGATAACAATTACAAAAATAGTATAACATACAATAGGTGCAAATACCTGAAAATAGACAAAGAACATTAACAGTGGAGGACAGATGTAGCATGGAAACATGCTACATCTATTACACCCTATCTGCAAGCAAGACCAATGGCATAACACCTTATTGATATGTAAATTCAATTAACCAATAGAAATACATAAACATTTAAATACATTTATGTAGTGCAAGTGGAAGCATAACCAACCTTGTTACTCTCTCTTGTCTCTCTACAGCAGACATATACACTGAACAAAAATATAAACACAACATGCAACAAAATATTTTACTGAGTTACAGTTCATACAAGGAAATCAGTCAATTGAAATAAATGTATTAGGCCCTAATCTATGGATTTCACATGACTGGGAATGGGTGCGCCATGGGTAGGCCTGGGAGGGCATATGCCCACCCACTTGGCAGCCAGGCTCACCCACTGGGGAGCCAGGCTCAGCAAATCAGAATGAGTTTTTCCCCACAAAAGGGCTTTATTACAGAAATACTCCTCAGATGATCCCGCAGGTGAAGAAGCCTGATGTGGAGGTCCTGGGCTGGCGTGGTTACTTGTTGTCTGTGGTTTTGAGGCCGGTTGGACATACTGCCAAATTCTCTAAAACGACGTTGGAGGCAGCTTATTTACATTTAGTCATTTAGCAGACGCTCTTATCCAGAGCGACTTACAGTTAGTGAGTGCATACATTTTTGTAAAAAAAAAAAAATCATACTGGCCCCCCGTGGGAATCGAACCCACAACCCTGGCGTTGCAAGTGCCATGCTCTACCAACTGAGCTACACAGGGCCAATAAATTGCAATGTCCGTACTATGAGACGCTTAAGACAGTGCTACAGGGAGACAGGACGGACAGATGATCGTCCTCGCAGTGGCAGACCACATGTAACAACACCTGCACAGGATCGGTACATACGAACATCACACCTGCGAGACAGGTACAGGATGGCAACAACAACTGCCCGAGTTACACCAGGAACGCACAATCCCTCCATCAGTGCTCAGACTGTCCGCAATAGGCTGAGAGAGGCTGGACTGGGGCTTCTAGGCCTGTTGTAAGGCAGGTCCTCACCAGACACTACGGGCAACAACGTCGCCTATGGGCACAAACCCACCGTCGCTGGACCAGACAGGACTGGCAAAAAGTGCTCTTCACTGACGAGTCGCGGTTTTGTCTCACCAGGGGTGATGGTCGGATTCGCGTTTATCGTCGAAGGAATGAGCGTTACACAGAGGCCTGTACTCTAGAGCGGGATCGATTTGGAGGTGGAGGGTCCGTCATGGTCTGGGTCGGTGTGTCACTGCATCATCGGACTGAGCTTGTCATTGCAGGCAATCTCCACGCTGTGCGTTACAGGGAAGACATCCTCCTCCCTCATGTGGTAGCCTTCCTGCAGGCTCATCCTGACATGACCCTCCAGCATGACAATGCCACCAGCCATACTGCTCGTTCTGTGCGTGATTTCCTGCAAGACAGGAATGTCAATGTTCTGCCATGGCCAGCGAAGAGCCCGGATCTCAATCCCATTGAGCACATCTGGAACCTGTTGGATCGGAGGGTCAGGGCTAGGGCCATTCCCCCCAGAAATGTCCGGGAACATGCAGGTGCCTTGGTGGAAGAGTGGGGTAACATCTCACAGCAAGAACAGGCAAATCTGGTGCAGTCCATGAGGAGGAGATGCACTGCAGTACTTAATGCAGCTGGTGGCCACACCAGATACTGACTGTTACTTTTGATTTTGACCCCCCCCTTTGTTCAGGGACACATTGTTCCATTTCTGTTAGTCACATGTCTGTGGAACTTGTTCAGTTTATGTCTCAGTTGTTGAATCTTGTTATGTTCAAACAAATACTTACACATGTTAAGTTTGCTGAAAATAAACGCAGTTGACAGTGAGAGGACGTTTCTTTTTTTGTTGAGTTTAGAATCGTGAGAATCGCAATACGTATCGAATCGACACCTAAATATCGTGATAATATCATATCGTGAGGTCCCTGGCACAGAACGAGTCTTTCGGAGAAGTGTCCTCTGGTCTGATTAAACAAAAATAGAACTGGTTGGCCATAATGACCATCGTTATGTTTGGAGGAAAAAGGGGGTGCTTGCAAGCCGACGAACACCATCCCAACCGTGAAGCACGGGGGTGGCAGCATCATGCTGTGGGGGTGCTTTGCTGCAGGAGGGTCTTGTGCACTTCACAAAATAATGGCATCTTGAGGAAGGAAAATTATGTGGGTATATTGAAGCAACATCTCAAGACATCAGTCAGGAAGTTAAAGCTTGGTCGCAAATGGGTCTTCCAAATGGACAATGACCTCAAGCATACTTCCAAAGTTGTGGCAAAATGGCTTAAGGACAACAAAGTCAAGGTATTGGAGTGGTCATCACAAAGCCCTGACCTCAAATCCTATAGAACATTTGTGGGCAGAACTGAAAAAGCGTGTGCGAGCAAGGAGGCCTACAAACCTGACTCGGTTACACCAGCTCTGTCAGGAGGAATGGGCCAAAATTCACCCAACTTATTGTGGGAAGCTTGTGGAAGGCTACCCGAAACGATTGACCCAAGTTATACAATTTAAAGGCAATGCTACCAAATACTAATTGAGTGTATGTAAACTTCTGACCCACTGGGAATGTGATGAAAGAAATAAAAGCTGAAATAAATCATTCTCTCTACTATTATTCTGACATTTCACATTCTTAAAATAAAGTGGTGATCCTAACTAACCTAAGACAGGGAATTTTTACTAGGATTAAATGTCAGGAATTGTGAAACTGAGTTTAAATGAATTTGGCTAAGGTATATGTAAACTTCTGACTTCAACTGTATCTATTATTACTTTTTACGTGTTTTACTTTCTATTTCTCTATTTTCTTTCTCTCTGCATTGTTGGGAAGGGCCTGTAAGTAAGTATTTCACTGTGTTTACGAAGCATGTAACAAATACAATTATATTTGAAATTGGGCAAATACAACAACTAATTCTCAAACCCACAGCTCTGTTATTCCAAACCCTATGCTCCTCCAACCAATTGAAAATCATACTCTCTTGGGCCATTTCCACATTTGTTTAAAAAGCACTGTGTTGATCGGGGTTTTGGGGATTGTTCCCTCCACAGTGATTGAGAGAGCCATGGTCACAGCGTTGCACCAGAAGGTGTTTAGCTTGGTTGCCTCAGCTGACCCATTTATGCTATTAGGCTTATGTGAATGGCAGTTCTCTTAGAAAAAAAATATAAACTATTGGAACCAATGTTTATAAAGAACTGATGTTGACACAAGATGGAGGGAAAGTTGGAGCATAACCATCGAAATTACAGTTAACAAAAATGTACGCTTAATCCAGTATAAACTAATGTATTGAATGTATTATACAAGAGACAAAGTTAATGTCTTAAGTGTAAAACTAATAATGACTCAATAATCCATGCTTTCTGGGATTGCTATAAAGTGCAGAAGTTGTGGGCAAAGCTAGAAAGTTGTCTCAGAAATATTACAATGTACATTTACTTTTAATCCGTCTGTCTGCACATTTCAAGACATGGCATATGGTGGTGTAGTGAGATACCCAATGGGCTGGACGATTCTCTTCTCATCTTGAAAAAACATACACTACCGTTCAAAAGTTTGGGGTTACTTAGAAATGTCCTTGTTTTCGAAATAAAAGCAATTTTTTTTGTCCATTTTTAAAATAACATCAAATTGATAATAAATACAGTGTAGACATTGTTAATATTGTAAATGGCTATTGTAGCTGGAAACGGCAGATTTTTTATGGAATACATAGGTGTACAGAGGCCCATTATCAGCAACCATCAGTCCTGTGTTCCAATGGCACGTTGTGTTTGTTAATCCAAGTTGATCATTTTAAAAGGCTAATTGATCATTTAGAAAACCCTTTTGCAATTAGAAATGTGAGATAATGTCTAGATGCTGTTTATAGTGGAGATCAAGTTTACAACTTGCCTGGGATGATGAGACAGTGGATTGCGCAGTCAGATGGAACAGAGTAAATAGGCATTTTAACGTCATAGATTTAGCCGGTGGTAACTTGTGGAATAGACACCGGCTGGAAAGCGTTCAGCATTCAGGATTAGACCCACCCGTTGTATGAATGTATATGTGTGTGTATATTTGCTTCCTTAAGCCACAACCATTATTGAGGTCGGGCACTGATGTTGGGCGATTAGGCTCGCAGTTGGCGTTCCAATTCATCCCAAAGGTGTGCGATGGGGTTGAGGTCAGGGCTCTGTGCAGGCCAGTCAAGTTCTTCCACACCGATCTCGACACACCATTTCTGTATGGACCTCGTTTTGTGCACGGAGGCATTGTCATGCTGAAATAGGAAAGGGCCTTCCCCAAACTGTTGCCACAAAGTTGGAAGCACTGAATAGTCTAGTATGTCATTGTATGCTGTAGCTTTAAGATTTCCCTTCACTGGAACTCTCGGGCCTAGCCCGAGCCATGGAAAACAGCCCCAGACCATTATTCCTCATCCACCAAACTTTACAGTTGGCACTATGTATTGGGGCAGGTAGCGTTCTCCTGGCATCTACCAAACTCAGATTTGTCAGTCGGACTGCCAGATGTTAAAGCGTGGTTCATAACTCCAGAGAACGCATTTCCACTGCTCCAGAGTCCAATTGCGGCGAGCTTTACACCACTCCAGCCGACGCCTGGCATTGCGCATGGTGATCTTAGGCTTGTTTGTGGCTGCTCGGCCATGGAAACCCATTTCATTAAGCTCTAGACAAACAGTTCTTATGCTGACGTTGCTTCCAGAGGCAGTTTGGAACTCAGTAGTGAGTGATGCAACCGAGGACGGATGATTTTACGCGCTTTCAGCACTCGGCTGTCCCGTTCTGTGAGCTTGTGTGGCCTACCACTTCGCGGCTGAACCATTGTTGCTCCTAGCTGTTTCCACTTCACAATAACAGCACTTACAGTTGATCAGGGCTGCTCTAGCAGGGCAAACATTTGATGAACTGACTGGTTAGAAAGGTGGCATCCTATGACAGTGCCACGTTGAAAGTCACTTAGCTCTACTGTAAGGCCATTCTACTGCCAATGTTTGTCTATGGAGATTGCATGGCTGTGTGCTTGATTGTATACACCTGACAGCAATGGGTGTGGCTGAAATAGCCAAATCCACTAATTTGATGGGGTGTCCACATATTTTTGTGTGTATATATTGTGCGTGTCGGTGTGTAATATATATATATATATATATATATATATATATATATATATATATATATATATATATATATATATATATATATATATATATATATATATATATATATATATATATATATATATATATATACACTGCTCAAAAAAATAAAGGGAACACTTAAACAACACAATGTAACTCCAAGTCAATTACACTTCTGTGAAATCAAACTGTCCACTTAGGAAGCAACACTGATTGACAATACATTTCACATGCTGTTGTGCAAATGGAATGGACAACAGGTGGAAATTATAGGCAATTAGCAAGACACCCCCAATAAAGGACTGGTTTTGCAAGTGGTGACCACAGACCACTTCTCAGTTCCTATGCTTCCTGGCTGATGTTTTGGTCACTTTTGAATGCTGGCGGTGCTTTCACTCTAGTGGTAGCATGAGACGGAGTCTACAACCCACACAAGTGGCTCAGGTAGTGCAGCTCATCCAGGATGGCACATCAATGCGAACTGTGGCAAGAAGGTTTGCTGTGTCTGTCAGCATAGTGTCCAGAGCATGGAGGCGCTACCAGGAGACAGGCCAGTACATCAGGAGACGTGGAGGAGGCCGTAGGAGGGCAACAACCCAGCAGCAGGACTGCTACCTCCGCCTTTGTGCAAGGAGGAGCAGGAGGAGCACTGCCAGAGCCCTGCAAAATGACCTCCAGCAGGCCACAAATGTGCATGTGTCTGCTTAAACGGTCAGAAACAGACTCCATGAGGGTGGTATGAGGGCCGACGTCCACAGGTGGGGGTTGTGCTTACAGCCCAACACCGTGCAGGACATTTGGCATTTACCAGAGAACACCAAGATTGGCAAATTCACCACTGGTGCCCTGTGCTCTTCACAGATGAAAGCATGTTCACACTGAGCACGTGACAGAGTCTGGAGACGCCGTGGAGAACGTTCTGCTGCCTGCAACATCCTCCAGCATGACCGGTTTGGCGGTGGGTCAGTCATGGTGTGGGGTGGCATTTCTTTGGGGGGCCGCACAGCCCTCCATGTGCTCGCCAGAGGTAGCCTGACTGCCATTAGGTACCGAGATGAGATCCTCAGACCCCTTGTGAGACCATATGCTGGTGCGGTTGGCCCTGGGTTCCTCCTAATGCAAGACAATGATAGACCTCATGTGGCTGGAGTGTCAGCAGTTCCTGCAAGAGGAAGGCATTGATGCTATGGACTGGCCCGCCCGTTCCCCAGACCTGAATCCAATTGAGCACATCTGGGACATCATGTCTCGCTCCATCCACCAACGCCACGTTGCACCACAGACTGTCCAGGAGTTGGCGGATGCTTTATTCCAGGTCTCGGAGGAGATCCCTCAGGAGACCATCCGCCACCTCATCAGGAGCATGCCCAGGCGTTGTAGGGAGGTCATACAGGCACATGGAGGCCACACACACTACTGAGCCTCATTTTTACTTGTTTTAAGGACATTACATCAAAGTTGGATCAGCCTGTAGTGTGGTTTTCCACTTTCATTTTGAGGGTGACTCCAAATCCAGACCTCCATGGGTTGATAAATTTGATTTCCATTGATAATTTTTGTGTGATTTTGTTGTCAGCACATTCAACTATGTAAAGAAAAAAGTATTTAATAAGATTATTTCATTCATTCAGATCTAGGATGTGTTATTTTAGTGTTCCCTTTATTTTTTTGAGCAGTGTGTGTATATATATATATATATATATATCTATATCTGAACAAAAATATAAACGCAAGTTGTAAAGTGTTGATCCCATGTTTCATGAGCTGAATTTTTTTTCCCTGAAATGTTACATGCGCACAAAAAGCTTATCTCGCTGAAATTCTGTGCACAAATTTGTTTACCTGTCAGGTGGATGGATTATCTTGGCAAAGGCGAAATGGTCACTAACAGGGAGGGACAGTAAAAGGCCACTCTAAAATGTGCCGTTTTGACACACAACACAATACCACAGACGTCTCAAGTTTTGAGGAAGCGTGCAATTGGCATGCTGACTGCAGGAATGTCCACCAGAGCTGTTGCCAGAGAATTGAAATTATTCAGACCCCTTGACTTTTTCCACATTTTGTTACGTTACAGACTAATTCTAACATGGATTAAATAAAACAATTTCCTCAGCAATCTACACACAATACCCTATAATGACAAAGCGAAAACAGGTTTTTGGACATTTTTGCAAACATTAAAAACAAAAAAGGATACATTATTTACCTAAGTATTCAGACCCTTTGCTATGAGACTCGAAATTGAGCTCGGGTGCTTCCTGTTCCCATTGATCATCCTTGAGCTGTTTCTACAACTTGATAGGAGTCCACCTGGGATAAATTAAATTGATTGGACATGATTTGGAAAGGGACACACCTGTCTAATGTAAGGTCCCACAGTTGACAGTGCATGTCAGAGAAGAAACCAAGCCATGAGGTCGAAGGAATTGTCCGTGGAGCTCCGAGACAGGATTGTGTCGAGGCACAGATTTGGGGAAGGGTACTACAACATTTTTGCATCATTGAAGGTCCCCAAGAACACAGTTGCCTCCATCATTCTTAAATTGAAGAAGTTTGGATCCACCAAGACTCTTCCTAGAGCTGGCCGCCCGGCCAAACTGAGCAATCGGCGTAGAAGGGCCTTGGTCAGGGAGGTGACCAAGAACCCGATGGTCACTCTGACAGAGTGCTGGAGTTCCTCTGTGGAGATGGGAGAACCTTCCAGAAGGACAACCATCTCTGCAGCACTCCACCAACTAGGCCTTTATGGTCTAGTGGCCAGACGGAAGCCACTCCTCAGTAAAAGGCACCTAAAGACTCTCAGACCATGAGAAACAAGATTCCCTGGTCTGATGAAACCAAGATTTAGCTCTTTGGCTTGAGTGCCAAGCGTCACAACTGGTGGAAACCTGGCACCATTCCTACGGTGAAGCATGGTGGTGGCAGCATCATGCTGTGGGGATGTTTTTCAGCGGCAGGGACTGGGAGACTTGTCAGAGAGGTCCTTGATGAAAACCTGCTCAGGACCTCAGACTGGGGCGAAGGTTCACCTTCAAATAGGACAATGACCCTAAGCACACAGCCAAGACAACGCAGGAGTGGCTTCGGGACAAGTCTCTGAATGTCCTTGAGTGGCCCAGCCAGAGCCTGGACTTGAACCCGATCGAACATCTCTGAAGAGACCTGAAAATAGTTGTGCAGCGACGCTCCCCATCCAACCTGACAGAGCTTGAGATGATCCGCAGAGAAGAATACCCGAGGCTGTAATCGCTGCCAAAGGTGCTTCAACAAAGTACTGAGTAAAGTGTCTGAATACTTATGTAAACGTGATATTTCCGTTTTTTTGTATACATTTGCTAAAATTTCTAAACCAGTTTTTGCTTTGTCATTATGGGGTATTTTGTGTAGATTGATGAGGGGAAAAAATATTTAATCAATTTTAGAATATGGCTGTAACGTAACAAAATGTGGAAAAATTCAAGGGGTCTGAATACTTTCCGAAGGCACTGTATATACTGAACGAAATATAGAGTTGATCTCAGTTCTCTCCCATCACAGCCATTAAACTCCAGCTGTTTAAAAGTCACCATTGGCCACAGAATATTCCAAGATTAGATACTAGGTTAGGTTTGCTCCTAGCAGAACTCGGCTAGGCGACATGCACAATGCAGAAATCGCTCCGCCATTTCCTGGTTGCAAAAGTTCTAATAGTTTCTGAAATTTCAGTTTGTGACATTAGAAGCAAGTATACTCTTGAGCAACCAAAAATATTGTATTTTCAGTTTTAAGCTGGTGTACAAAACCGAAAGTAAATGACGCAAAAACAAAATTTAAGAACAGTAAGCATAGAAAGAGCACACACAGAACAGATCTACCGCTTCTTAAACTCGCTCTCAATGAGTGACAGATCTATGACTCACATTTCTATGTACATTTTTTCGGGTCGCCAAAAAAGATACATTTTGCAGCTTTAAAAGACCTTCCCTTGAAAAATTTGAAAAAAGTGGCAATGGTACTGTTTGTCCCTCTTGAGACGCCGTAGCCAGTAATGAACACTTACTCAAAATAGTAAGATTTAATCTATAACTCAAGAAATCTGTAATTAATTTTTACCTTTTTGCCGAGGAGGTCTTAGTCGTTAACAAAGATGTTTTGTGCAGTATTTCTCAATTGAAAAAAATTGCATGAAAACGAATAGTCTCTCGTTGAATGACAACAAACACATCATTGAAGAATCCCTACTGTTGATCAATCACCGACGAGGGGCGTAGACGTCGGGCTACCGAACTTCGGCTTGTCTCAGTTAAACATTTTGTGTGCACCAACAGCCTAAAAAGCCCTTGCTTAAAACCAAAACGATCAAAAACGTCACAAAATGTCGTCATAATACACTGCTAAAAAAAATAAAGGGAACACTTAAACAACACAATGTAACTCCAAATCAATCACACTTCTGTGAAATCAAACTGTCCACTTAGGAAGCAACACTGATTGACAATACATTTCACATGCTGTTGTGCAAATGGAATAGACAACAGGTGGAAATTATAGGCAATTAGCAAGACACCCCCAAAAAAGAAGTGGTTTTGCAGGTGGTGACCACAGATCACTTCTCAGTTCCTATGCTTCCTGGCTGATGTTTTGGTCACTTTTGAATGCTGGCGGTGCTTTCACTCTAGTGGTAGCATGAAACGGAGTCTACAACCCACACAAGTGGCTCAGGTAGAGCAGCTCATCCAGGATGGCACATCAATGCGAGCTGTGGCAAGAAGGTTTGCTGTGTCTGTCAGCGTAGTGTCCAGAGCATGGAGGCACTACCAGGAGACAGGCCAGTACATCAGGAGACGTGGAGGAGGCCGTAGGAGGGCAACAACCCAGCAGCAGGACCGCTACCTCCGCCTTTGTGCAAGGAGGAGCAGGAGGAGCACTGCCAGAGCCCTGCAAAATGACCTCCAGCAGGCCACAAATGTGCATGCGTCTGCTCAAACGGTCAGAAACAGACTCCATGAGGGTGGTATGAGGGCCCGACGTCCACAGGTGGGGGTTGTGCTTACAGCCCAACACCGTGCAGGACGTTTGGCATTTGCCAGAGAACACCAAGATTGGCAAATTCGCCACTGGCGCCCTGTGCTCTTCACAGATGAAAGCAGGTTCACACTGAGCACATGTGACAGACGTGACAGAGTCTGGAGATGCCGTGGAGAACGTTCTGCTGCCTGCAACATCCTCCAGCATGACCGGTTTGGCGGTGGGTCAGTCATGGTGTGGGGTGGCATTTCTTTGGGGGGCCGCACAGCCCTCCATGTGCTCGCCAGAGGTAGCCTGACTGCCATTAGGTACCGAGATGAGATCCTCAGACCCATTGTGAGACCATATGCTGGTGCGGTTGGCCCTGGGTTCCTCCTAATGCAAGACAATGCTAGACCTCATGTGGCTGGAGTGTGTCAGCAGTTCCTGCAAGAGGAAGGCATTGATGCTATAGACTGGCCCGCCCGTTCTCCAGACCTGAATCCAATTGAGCACATCTGGGACATCATGTCTCGCTCCATCCACTAACGCCACGTTGCACCACAGACTGTCCAGGAGTTGGCGGATGCTTTAGTCCAGGTCTGGGAGGAGATCCCTCAGGAGACCATCCGCCACCTCATCAGGAGCATGCCCAGGCGTTGTAGGGAGGTCATACAGGCACGTGGAGGCCACACACACTACTGAGCCTCATTTTGACTTGTTTTATGGACATTACATCAAAGTTGGATCAGCCTGTAGTGTGGTTTTCCACTTTAATTTTGAGGGTGACTCCAAATTCAGACCTCCATGGGTTGATCAATTTGATTTCCATTGATCATTTTTGTGTGATTTTGTTGTCAGCACATTCAACTAGGTAACGAAAAAAGTATTTAATAAGATTATTTCATTCATTCAGATCTAGGATGTGTTGTTTAAGTGTTCCCTTTATTTTTTTGAGCAGTGTATATTGAACTTTTTTGGATGGGACGCATGCGGGCGCCTTCATGCTGCACAGAAGTTAACACACTTGAATAACGCAGCATGTAGAAATGTTGAAACTGTTAATTACTGTTCGCAAAACAATGTCCATACAAGCGAGAACACTTTTTACAATGCAAGAAGATACCGGTAGCTTCCAGCTTTGTAAGCTTACTTTCCTTGCTAGCTGACAGCTAAAGCTAACATCAATTCACTAGCCTAGTACTTTGTTTATAATAATATGCTAACCATAACACAAAATATGCTGATTTTAAAGCTGATTGCCACCAAAAACTTTATTCATGAACTTATTCTCTCTCATGACTCTCCCAAAGACGATCTATTGCCTCAGCGAACTGACTGATCAGACAGGCCGCCTCCCGAATTACATCATTAACGGTTGGAGACAGCGCACAATTTTATAAAATAATCTAGTCTAATCTAATCTTTGCAAATGTTTTTGATCTGTACAGTAAAATAAGTCCCAAATAGAAGGGAAACAGATTGTTTGTTTGTCTTCTGTAGCCCCATGAAATTAGCCAAAACAAGCTCAATAACTCCATGCGTGCACACACTCCCATTGAATATGTATTCACCTGTGTATTGTGGGTAGGCCTAAGCTACATTTTGATTTACCCAGTTTATCAATAGTATATATTACCATTGTTGTGTAGTTAGAATGGTAAAAACAAAGTCAAATTGATTGTATAATTGATTCGTTAATGCATACATGGCTGTCTTTTGAAAAAAGTTTACGTAAAATAATTATAATGTAATGAAATTGAACTCAAAAGATGCCCAACGATTGAACAGAGCAGTAGCTGAGTTTCTGTCTGGGTCAAGTGCCATTCTGTGACTTTGGCTAATATCCCTTCTTTTTTGCCCTGTTATCATTCTGGTATCGAGTATTGTGATGGTATTGAAGTCAAAATTCTGGTATCGTGACAACACTAATAAATAGATAGATGGATAGATTAGATACTTTATTGTCCTTGGGAAAGAAATGATAGGCCTATAAAGCTGCAATATGTAACGAAGGCCTGTGGAGAAGGGGGCGGGCCTCCGGAGCAGCAGGTCTCAACAGGAAATGGCTCTGTGTGTGCCTTCTCCCTCCCTCTGACCTAGCCTGGAGTGAGAGACTACTGTACTGCTAAATACAATCACCTTTAATCATTTGGAAATTGAGCGATTCATAAAAGGCGTGAATAGCGAGTGGCTGTGGTAAGGGTGAATTAATGAGATTTCTGTGATTTCAGAGCTGCCAACATCTGTCAAACTAAGCCGGGAAGTTGAGTGCCTGGTTGAACAAGCCCTTCGTCCATATTGAACTCCTTGGCTGTGTCTGAAATAGCACCCTATTCCCTTTAGTGTACTACTTTTGACCAGGGCCCATAGTGGTGCCATTTTGGTCGCAGCCCATATGAAATATAATTATTTGGTGTTTTGGTCCCTGAATCTGTGCAGAATGAATGGCGGTTAGATTTGTGATGGGCGATCCATATAAAGTCTCTGCAGTGCCTGTCAATCAAACATGTCCGTTATGTTTCCATGTGACTTAGTCTGGAGTCTAAACTGAATGTCGCTATGTTGTACTAGCATTTTATTTCCTTCACTTTAAGGATTTAGTATTGAGCTGCTCCAATAGAGGGGCACTTGGACAGTCTAGAAAGTAGCCGGTCCAGTCGTTGTCCTCTAAGAAACGATCTGCTGGTTTAGCTTTGGTCGAAAAGGCAGGGTTGGGGTCTATTCGAATTAAGGTCACCCAATTCAGTAATTCATTTAAATGTATAATTTCAAAATTTTGGAAAAACGTTTGAAATAAATAACTTCTCCTTTTCAGTTTATTGAGAAGTCATTGAAAAGTAAATGCCTCTTTTTTTACAATTATTTAATTCAAATTTTTGTTTACTTTCCTGAATTCCAGTGGAAGACACATTTCAGTTGAATGCATTCATTGACTAGGTGTCCCCCTGTCCCTGACTGAATTGACTGACTTATTATTATTATTATTATTATTATTATTATTATTATTAACCCCAACCCTGGTTAAAGCAGAGGTCGCATTAGCTTTCAGAAATATGCATTTTCAAAATGCCAACCATAAAATAAATCTGTGTTTTTAAACCTTTTCACCTGCTTTTTATATTGAAATTATTATTAAATTTTTGCTGATTCTAGTGGAGAAGTGCAATTACATTCATGATTTGGAGTGAACTGTGAGTGAAACCAAGCAGAAAATACAATAAGAAGAATTTTAGATCTGAGTTGACAAAATGCAGTAAGATATTGTTTCTGTTTTTTCTTTCCTTTCCTGCGTGAAAAACGCTGAATTCTGTGTTATTGCAACTTCTGTGAAGGTGATCTAATCTCTGACAGTTTGCACAACATCGCACAATACAGATATGGGGTGTAAATGTTTTCAATGAAGGCAGGCCCCGAATGAAAGGGAGAAGTGAAACTACGGTGAAACGAAGTATTCCATTCTGTTATTTGTGAATCACACCTCTCAGTAATATAGTTAATAGAAGTTTTCAGACCAAGACCAAATGGAACGGCAAACTGATGAAATGGGCTATCTATTAGCCTGCCACAATTGCTTGTGAGGCAGGATGCGGAGTAGGCTACCCTGGGTAAAATGCTTACATCCTTAATTTCCCTGAAGAAAAACGATACTGCATTTGCAACTTGTGTAGTGACATCCTTACTTTAGAAAACGGAGAGTATGAAGATGTTGTTCTCCCTATGATTTGTCTCTCATCGGAATCTAACATACATTGGCAAAGTTGACAGCTTTTCATTTGACTGTATTGCCTGGAAATACTGTTTCTGTTTAACATAATTCTACTTAAACTGGTATTATTAATGCAACAAGCTGTTAATTACGGGAGTGAACCGAAAGTTTCTCCTGAAACTTCAACTTTCTTGTTTGAAACATTTCTTATCCTTCTCTTTCTCAGGCTGGTGTCCTCCATCCACGCCATTATGGCCACCACGGCAGGAGTCATCGTGGTGTCGGAGTGCAGCGGTAACATCATGACCGACAGGTAGGTCAGCCACTAACAGACGGGGACGAGTTCCTTGACCCGGGTGGCCCAATCAGTGCAGCTGAAGAACTCATGTCTTCTTCCTGTCTGCATATTTTTTTTAACGCTACATGGCAATGCTTCATGCAAGCTGTTTCAGGACCACAAAAGCAAGAGCTTCTTATTGGACAAGTGCCTAATGAACACAACCCTGACCACCCTCTCTTACCACCTAGCCGTTTCCTCATACCTAATGACAGCGGTTAGTTGTGGTCTGAACAAATCACCTCGGTTTTCCGCTGAGAGTATAGTGGGCTTAATTGGCGCCCCCTATCAGTTGTTGAGTGAACACACACAGGCTCTACCTTGGGTGGTATGTGTCTGTTAACAACAACTGGTGCGCGATCTCTAATATTAAAGAAGTCTCTAGGTTCTGCTCACCTGAGTTAGAATATCTCATGATATCTGTAGAACATACTATTTACCAAGAGTTTTCATTTATATTTTTCGTAGCTCTCTATTTACCACCACAAACCAATGCTGGCACTAAGACCGCTCTCAACAAGCTTTATAGGGCCGTAAGCAAACAAGAAAATGCTCGTCCAGAGGCGGCACACCTAGTGGCCGGTGATTGTAAGCTCTCCATTTGTCAAATATGACCATAACTCTATCCTGATTACAAGCAAAAACCCAAACAGAAAGTACCAGTGACGCAAACAGCACAGAAGTGGTCCGATGAGGCTGATGCTAAACTATAGGACTATTTCGCTAACACAGACTGGAATATGTTCCGGGACTCATCTGATGGCATTGAGGAATTTACCACATCAGTCACCGGCTTCATTAATAAGTGCATTGACGGCGTCGTCCCCACAGTGACCATACGTACATATACCAAAAACCATAAGCCATGGATTACAGGAAGCATCCGCACTGAGCTAAAGGCTAGAGCTTCCGCTTTCAAGGAGTGGGACTCTATTCCAGACGCTTATAAGAAATCTCCCTATGACCTCCGACGCCATCAAACAGGCAAAGCGTCAATACAGGAGTAAGATGGAATCCTACTACACCGGCTCTGACGCTCTTTGAATGTGGCAGGGCTTGCAAACTATCATGGATTACAAAGGGAAACCCAGCCGCGAGCTGCCCAGTGACGCAAGCCTACCAGACGAGCTAAATGCATTCTATGCTCGCTTCGAGGCAAGCAACACTGAACCATGCGTGAGAGCACCAGCTGTTCTGATCGACTGCGATCACGCTCTCCTTAGCCGATGTGAGTAAGACCTTTAAACAGGTTAACATTCACAAGTCCGCAGGGCCAGGTGGATTACCAGGACGTGTGCTCAAGAGCATGCGCTGACCAGCTGGCAAGTGTCTTCACTGACATTTTCAAATTCTCCCTGCCAGCTGGCAAGTGTCTTCACTGACATTTTCAAATTCTCCCTGACCCAGTCTGTAATACCTACATGTTTCAAGCAGACCCCCATAGTCCATGTGCCCAAGAACGCCAAGGTAACCTGTCTAAATGACTGTCGCCCCATAGCACTCACATCTGTAGCCATGAAATGCTTTGAAAGGCTGGTCATGGCTCACATCAACACTATCATCCCAGACAGCCTGGACCCACTCCAATTCTCATGCCGCCCCAACAGATCCACAGATTTCGCCATTTCTATTGCTCTCCACATTTATGTGAGAATGCTGTTCATTGACTACAGCTCAGCGTTCAAAACCATAGTGCCCTCCAAGCTCATCACTAAGCTAAGGACCCTGGGACTGAACACCACCTTCTGCAACTGGGTCCTGGACTTTGACGGGACACCCCCAGGTGGTGAGGGTAGGCAATAACACATCCGCCACGCTGACCCTCAACACAGGGGCCCCTCAGGGGTGAGTGCTTAGTTCCCCTCGTGTACTCCCTGTTCACCCACGACTGCGTGGCCGCGCATGGTTTCAACACCACCATTACGTTTGCTGACGGTGGTAGGCCTGATCACAGACGACAATGAGACCGCCTATAGGGAAGGAGGTCCGAGACTTGGAAGTGTGGTGTCAGGACAACAACCTCTCCCTCAATGTCAGCAAGACAAAGGAGCTGATCGTTCCTTGGTGTTCACATCACTAAAGATCTATCATGGTCCAAACACACCAACACAGTCGTGAAGAGGGCACGACAACGCCTCTTCCCCCTCAGGAGGCTGAAAAGATTTGGCATGGGACCTCAGATCCTTAAGTTCTACAGCTGCACCATTGAAAGCATCTTGACTGGTTGCATCACCGCTTGTTAGACGAAGGCCCTAAAAATTGTCAGACTCCAGCCACCCTAGTCATAGACTGTTCTCTTTGCTACCGCAAGGCAAGCGGTACCGGAGCGCCAAGTCTAATGATTCTGTCTCTTCGCAGCAAAATCTGCAGAGCTGGGCGAGGGAGAACTTTGTACGCGTCTCTGTGGGTGGAGTAAAGGTGGTCTAGAGTTTTTTCCTCTAGTTGCACATTTAACATGCTGGTAGAAATTAGGTAAAACGGATTTAAGTTTCCCTGCATTGAAGTCCCCGGCCACTAGGAGCGCCGCCTCTGGATGAGCGTTTTCCTGTTTGCTTATGGCCCTATACAGCTCATTGAGTGTGGTCTTAGTGCCAGCATCGGTTTGTGGTGGTAAATAGACAGCTACGAAAAATATAGATGAACACTTTCTTGGTAAATAGAGTGGTCTACAGCTTATCATGAGATACTCTACCTCAGGCGAGCAAAACCTAGAGACTTCCTTAATATTAGATTTCGTTGTTTACAAATATACACAGACCGCCACCCCTTGTCTTACCGGAGGCAGCTGTTCTATTTTGCCAATGCAGTGTAAACTCCGCCAGCTGTATGTTATTCATGTCATCGTTCAGCCATGACTCTGTGAAACATAAGATAATACTGTTTTTAATATCCCGTTGGTAGGATATTTGTGATCGTAGCACGTCTATTGTGTTATCCAATGATTGATTGTACGTTGGCTAATAGGACTGATGGTAGAGGCAGATTACCCACTCGCCGCCGGATCCTTACAAGGCACCCCGACCTACGTCCCCGATATCTCTGTCTCTTTCTCCTTCGAATGACGGGGATTTTGGCCTTGTCGGGTGTATGAAGTAAATCCTTCGCGCCCGACTCGTTAAAGAAATAATCTTTGTCCAGTAAGAGGTGAGTAATCGCTGTCCTGATATCCAGAAGCTCTTTTCTTTTCAATATCTATTATTACTTTTATTATTAATTAATTATTTACTTTTCTATAATTTAGTTTATTTCTCTCTGCATTGTTTGGAAGGGCCCATAAGTAAGCATTTCACTGTTATTTCACACCTGTTGTTTACGAAGCATGTGACAATTAAAATGTGATTTGATCAGATTTTGTACTTGAGGCGAACCCACTGCCACCTGCCCGAAGATCCATACCGACCCGGTCAGTGAGGGAAAGTACGGGGCAAACCTGTCTGTCTAGCTAGATGCAGGCCAGTGGCTAGCTTCCAATCCCATTCCCAAGCCACAGCTGTTGACCCCGGGTCCTGGCCCTCGAGGACAGCCAGCCCACCCGTCTGTCTATCGGTCACTATCCCCAGTGGGACAGGTGTTCTGGGTCCCGTCCCAGCCCAATATCCCATCCCTATGCTCAGTCACCATGGCCACCTGCTCAGTCAGTCCGGTACCAGCAAAAATATATATAACAAACCCAAGATTCATCTGTGTCGTTTTCAATGGGAGCAAATTAAGCATAGTGGGCAAAACAAGCAGGGAGGTGGGCAGAGCCAAGCACGAGCTAGTGAGATCCTATTGTCGCGTTCTAGCATGTATTTGCATATTTCCGTTGTGGAACGCCTTCTCTGTGAAGTGTGCGTGTGCTGTAACTCAATTCGGCCTTGCACTCCTTGTAAACAACACAATTATTTGCAAATTTGGCAAAGGGTAAGTCTACAAATCTTAGTGCACTCTGTTCGTAACAGATTAGTGCTGAGCGATTAGTGCTTTATGAGGGTGGTTCGGTTTTGGTTTCAAAAAAATTTTCTGGGACATTAAATGCACTATGCATTATGTGGGTTGAATGCTGTAACAACACCGAATACAACAATAAAAGTCCCATGATGATGGTGACAGCCCATTTACTGCTTATCACTTATTAACCATAATAATCACTTTACTTTAAATATTTCAGTTTTGTGTATATTACATTTGTTTTAGGCCTATTTGAAGTCATCTCATCTCATCTCTAGAGCTGCTGCCTATGCAGTCTGACAAAATCACTATTGATTTCTCCTTGCTCATTAAGAAATGCTAGCGGCCATGACTACAGGGGAACGAGTTGTTTTGGGTGCGTGGTTTGATGTGGGTGTGTCTTTGTCATTTAATCATAACGAATAAGGACAGTAGTGAGTACAATGAGGTAAGCTAAAATAGCTTTGCTATGGAGATAACGAAGTTTTGAAGTTGATGACTTCTTCCCTCCTGACTGACTTGTCATCTCAAGATGGTCAGCTAATTCAGCTAAAAAGCCTGCACTGACTTTGTGTTTAGCCAAGCTGACAGCAGCTAGCTAGCATAGCTTGGTGTAGCTGGCCATCTTATCTAGCTGATATTTCTCTGTCAAATCAGTTATGGCAAGAGCCAGTGTCTGGAATGTGTTTCGTAAGACACTTGTTCTACAACGCCTTGCTATGAAAGTAGCTTGCAAGTTTCAACGTTTCATCACGTCATGTAAATACATGTTACCGTGGAAACGGTGTCAACTGTGAGTTGAATGCCCGGTCTTGAGTCAGCTCAGCTATCCTACAACACAATATTTTATAACTTGCTAGTTTTGTCTCGTCTCTCGTTATATCCGCTATTTCCCGGGGAAAAACCCCCAGAACTACTAATATCCCTACAACAGATGTAGGCTACATGTGGACATTGCACAAACATCGCCCAGCTTGAGTGTAGATACATTTATCAACAAAAAATCAGTGTGTTTGTGGTACAAAGACACATTTTATGCTGTAACTATCATATTAATGTGCTTATAAAGACCGTATGCCTACACTTACCTAGCAAATAAAAATACGTTGTGTGTGTGTGTGTTTAGAGCACACACTGTCTAACCAGAACTAGAATGGCATTCTATTAGTCTAGTTGGCCGACTCTAAGGATTTGGCTGTCTAACCACACACTGACATGCACAGCTCTCTGGGTGAGGTTCTGTCTTCAAGTGTCCAGTGGGTGATGAAGTCCCTTCCATCTATGTAATGTATTACAGGCTATGGACATGTGCAGTCAGGTGGCAGGAGGGTTGGAGTGCACTTAACCCTAATTTCTCCTGTAAGTCGCACTGGATAAGAGCGTCTGCTAAATGACTAAAATGTAAAATGTAATGACACTCCAACTCTCTCTCTCTACCGCACCTGCTATTTCAACCTCTAAATGCCCGGCTATGAAAAGCCAAGTGACATTTACTCCTGATGTACTGACCTGTTGCAACCTCTACAACCACTGTGATTATTATTTGACCCTGCTGGTCATCTATGAACATTTAAACATCTTGGAGAAAAATCTGGCTAAATGGCCAGGTACTGTTATAATCTCCACCCGGCACAGCCAGAAGGGGACTGGTCACCCCTCAGAGCCTGGTTCCTCTCTAGGTTTCTTCCTAGGTTTCTGCCTTTCTAGGGAGTTTTTCCTAGCCACCGTGCTTCTACATCTGCATTTCTTGCTGTTTGGGGTTTTAGGCTGTGTTTCTGTACAGCACTTTGTGACATCTGCTGCTGTAAAAAGGGCTTTATAAATACAATTTGATTGATATGACAGAGTTTGCCTCAACCCATGGGTCCAGCAGCCAGAGTTCAATAACTACAAGTAGATGTGAGATGCAAGAGGATGGCACTCTTCTCATACCACACAGGAGGAAGCTTTGCATCGGTCAGTGGCCTAAAGAGTCATTTGAGACAAGTGCAATTGCTGACTAATGTAGATATTCTAAACTAAGTGTTTTGATAACTCAAGTGGAACAGTTCTATGTAGAATAAAGCATACTTCACATAATACTGTAGAAGCAGTGTTATGCTAATATAACAATGTGCAAATACGGTGACCTCTGTTCAGTCCACACTGTGAACCCGAATGAATACATAAATTAATCAAACTATCAAATGTTATTTGTCACATGCGCCGAATACAACAGGTGTAGACTTTACCGTGAAATACTTACGAGCCCTTTCCCAACAGTGCAGAGTTAAGTAAGAAAAATTAGCAAAATAAATGGTAACACAATAAAATAACAATAACGAGGCTATATGCAAGGAGCACCGGTACCGAGTCAATGTGCAGGGGTACGAGGTAGTTGAGGTAATATGTACATGTAAGTAGGGGTAAAAGTGACTAGGCAATCAGGATAGATAATAAACAGAGTAGAAACGGCATATGTGAAGAGTGTGTATGTGTGTGTTGCAGTGTCAGTGTAGTATGTGTGAGGTACAGTGCCTTCAGAAAGTATTCACATCCTTTTACTTTTTCCCCAATTTGTTGTGTTAGCCTGAATTTAAAATGGATTAAATAGAGATTTTGTGTCACTGGCCTACACACAATAAATCCCCCATAATGTTAAACTGGAATTATGTTTTTGACAAATGTAAAAAATGATTAGCTGAAATGTCTATAGAGTTAATAAGAATTCAATCCCTTTGTTTTGGCAAATAAGTTCAGGAGTAAGAATTGCTGAACAAGTCACATAATAAGTTGCATGGACTCACTCTGTGTGCAATAATGGTGTTTAACATGATTTCGAATGACTACCTCATCTCTGTACCCCACGAATACAATTATCTGTAAGGTCCCTCAGTCGAGCAGTGAATTTCAAACACAGATTCAACCACAGACAAGGGAGGTTTTCCAATGCCTCTCAAATAAGGGCATCTATTGGTAGATGATTAAAACAAGCAGACATTGAATATCCCTTTGAGCATGGTTATTAATTACACTTTGGATGGTGTATCAATACACCCAGTCACTAAAAACACAGGCATCCTTCCTAACTCTGTCGCTGGAGAGGAAAGAAACCGCTCAGGGATTTCACCATGAGGCCAATGATGACTTTAAAACAGTTCGTTTAATTGTTGTGATGGGAGAACTGAGGATGGATCAACAACATTGTAGGTACTCCACAATACTAACCTAAATTAAAGCGTGAAAAGAAGGAAGCATGTACAGAATGTTTTTACTCAAACATTCATCCTGTTTGCAATAAGGCACTAAAGTAAAACTGCAAAAAATGTGGCAAAGAAATTAACTTTACAGTGAGGGGAAAAAAGTATTTGATCCCCTGCTGATTTTGTACGTTTGCCCACTGACAAAGAAATGATCAGTCTATAATTTTAATGGTAGGTTTATTTGAACAGTGAGAGACCGAATAACAACAAAAAAATCCAGAAAAACGTATGTCAAAAATGTTATAAATTGATTTGCATTTTAATGAGGGAAATAAGTATTTGACCCCCTCTCAATCAGAAAGATTTCTGGCTCCCAGGTGTCTTATATACAGGTAACGAGCTGAGATTAGGAGCACACTCTTAAATGGAGTGTTCCTAATCTCAGTTTGTTACCTGTATAAAAAGACACCTGTACACAGAAGCAATCAATCAATCAGATTCCAAGTCCCCCTGTATAAAAAGACACCTGTACACAGAAGCAATCAATCAATCAGATTCCAAGTCTCAGTTTGTTACCTGTATAAAAAGACACCTGTACACAGAAGCAATCAATCAATCAGATTCCAAGTCCCCCTGCTCAAGCCAGCGCATGTCCAGGCCCGTCTGAAGTTTGCCAATTATAATCTGGATGATCCAGAGGAGGAATGGGAAAAGGTCATGTGGTCTGATGTGACAAAAATAGAGCTTTTTGGTATAAACTCCACTCACCGTGTTTGGAGGAAGAAGAAGGATGAGTACAACCCCAAGAACACCATCCCAACCGTGAAGAATGGAGGTAGAAACATCATTCTTTGGGGATGCTTTTCTGCAAAGGGGACAGGACGACTGCACCGTATTGAGGGGAGGATGGATGGGGCCATGTATCGCAAGATCTTGGCCAACAACCTCCTTCCCTCAGTAAGAGCATTGAAGATGGGTCGTGGCTGGGTCTTCCAGCATGACAACGACCCGAAACACACAGCCAGGTCAACTAAGGAGTGGCTCCGTAAGAAGCATCTCAAGGTCCTGGAGTGGCCTAGCCAGTCTCCAGACCTGAACCCAATAGAAAATCTTTGGAGGGAACTGAAAGTCTGTATTGCCCAGCGACAGCCCTGAAACCTGAAGGATCTGGAGAAGGTCTGTATGGAGGAGTGGGCCAAAATCCCTGCTGCAGTGTGTGCAAACCTGGTCAAGACCTACAGGAAACGTATGATCTCTGTAATTGCAAACAAAGGTTTCTGTACCAAACATTAAGTTCTGCTTTTCTGATGTATCAAATACTTATGTCATGCAATAAAATGCAAATTAATTACTTAAAAATCATACAATATAATTTTTTGGATTCCGTCTCACAGTTGAAGTGTACCTATGATAAAAATGACAGACCTCTACATGCTTTGTAAGTAGGAAAACCTGCAAAATCGGCAGTGTATCAAATACTTGTTCTCCCCACTGTACATGCCCGTCTGAAGTTTGCCAATGAACATCTGAATGATTCAGAGGAGAACTGGGTGAAAGTGTTGTGGTCAGATGAGACCAAAATGGAGCTTTTTGGCATTAACTCAACTCGCCGTATTTGGAGGAGGAGGAATGCTGCCTATGAGCCCAAGAACACCATCCCCACCGTCAAACATGGAGGTGGAAACATTATGCTTTGGGGGTGTTTTTCTGTTAAGGGGACAGGACAACTTCACCGCATCAAAGGGACGATGGACGGGGCCATGTACCGTCAAATCTTGGGTGAGAACCTCCTTCCCTCAGCCAGGGCATAGAAAATGGGTCGTGGATGGGTATTCCAGCATGACATTGACCCAAAACACACGGCCAAGGCAACAAAGGAGTGGCTCAAGAAGAAGCACATTGAGGTCCTGGAGTGGCCTAGCCAGTCTCCAGACCTTAATTCCATAGAAAATCTGTGGAGGGAGCTGAAGGTTCGAGTTGCCAAACGTCAGCCTCAAAACCTTAATGACTTTGAGAAGATCTGCAAAGAGGAGTGGGACAAAATCCCTCCTGAGATGTGTGCAAACCTGGTGGCCAACTACAAGAAACATCTGACCTCTGTGATTGCCAACAAGGGTTTTGCCACCAAGTACTAAGTCATGTGTTGCAGAGTGGTGAAATACTTATTTCCCTCTTTTAAAATGCAAATCAATTTATAACATTTTTGACATGCGTTTTTCTGGATTTTTTTGTTTGTTATTCTGTCTCTCACTGTTCAAATAAACCTACCATTAAAATGATAGACTGATCATTTCTTTGTCAGTGGGCAAACGTACAAAATCAGCAGGGGTTCAAATACTTTTTTCCCTCACTATATGTCCTGAATACACAGCGTTACGTTTGGGGAAAATCCACCACAACCACACTATTTTCAAGCATGGTGGCTGCATCATGTTATGGGTATGCTTGTCATCGGCAAGGACTATGGAGTTTTTTGGGATAAAAAGAAATGGAATGGAGCTAAGCACAGGCAAAATCCTAGAGGAAAACCTGCTTCAGTCTTCTTTCCAACAGACACTGGGAGATAAATTCACCTTTCATACACTGGAGTTGCTTACCAAGATGACATTGAATGTTCCTGAGTGGCCTAGTTACAGTTTTGACTTAAATCGGCTTGAAAATATATGGCAAGACTTGAAAATGGCTGTCTAGCGATGATCAACAAACAACTTGACAGAGCTTGAAGAATTTGAAGAAGATTAATGTGCAAATATTGTACAATCCAGGTGTGGAAAGCACTTAGAGACTTACCTAGAAAGACTCACATCTGTAATCGCTGCCAAAGGTGCTCCTACAAAGTATTGACACGGGTGTGAATACTTATGTAAATGAGATATTTCTGTCAATCATTTTCAATAAATGTGTTCATTATTTATAAAAACATGTTTTCTCTTTTTCATTATGGGGTATTGTGTGTAGATGGATGCAGAAAAACAAATATATTTAATCCATTTTGAATTGACTGTAACACAACAAAATGTGGAATAAGTCAAGGGGAATGAATACTTTCTGAAGACACTGTATGTACATGTAGGTAGGGATAAAAGTGACTAGGCAATCAGGATAGATAATAAACAGAGAATCAGCGTATGTGTGTGTTGGCGTGTCAGGTTAAATGTTAACTAGCTAACATTACGCTATAACTAGCAATGCAAGTGGATTAGTGATTTGAATAATATTACTACACAGATCATACACGTAACGTTAGCTAGTGAGCCATCAAGCTAACGTTTGCTAGCTAACTAACAGTATGCTTTAACTTGCAATAAAAATTACTTTCTGACTAAATTAGAAACATATCTGGAAAATGTAGCTAGACTCTTACCCGTATACATGGATGAACGCTTCACGGCAGACTGGAACCATTTAACTCTGTTTTGTTTGTAGCTACGTCTTGTTTGGCCAGCTTTGTGTCATGTCACTCCGGTTCACACTGACCGTGGCGTGTGCAGAAAGTAGCCCATCACTTTTTCCTATTGATCTGTTGATAGCGCCTGCTAAATTCAGGGCATCAATGTTGTTGAGAAAAGTAGCAACTTTTGTAGTTCTCGATGGCTAACGTTATAGCTTTCCAAAATGGTGCGGTAGAAAGGACTGTCAACACATACTGAACAGCTCACGTTATAGACAGAAGCGTGCTACATGGCAGACCAATCCAAACTCCTCTCCCGACATGTCCAGCCCATACATTCTCAGCCAATCATGGCTAGTGGGAAGGTTCCTGTCTTTTTTCTTGGCTAAACCAACTAGGCTCGTAATTTAACAATTTTATTCATATTTATGGATGGAATGCAAGTTTGTTATTAAGGCACATGAAAGTTTACATGTTCCAGAAGGCCTTTCTGCCAAAAAAACGAATTTTGATTAAAAAAAGACATGTTCACGTTCAAATGCTGCTCCTGTGAAGTAGTGACGTGCGACATACGCCTAGTTTCCTGAAACGAGTCACAAATGTGACCAACCTGATTCAAGTGTCCCCTATTACTCTGAAGCGGGACTTGTGTCTGGCCACTGCCTCAGCCTTCTGTAACAGCTCCTGATATGGAAGGGGGGTTCCCACGACGTTGCTGAATAAATAATACACCATGTTTTATATGTAGCCTGTGAATGGAATGAAATAAAATAAAATATTGTCACTCAATAAACATATAGCGAGAAATTACTGTCTTTAGTTTGGAAGTAATTTATGCTAATAGAGGGACTAACTACAGGATAGATTCAGGCCAGTGATGCTGACGCCATTACTATGCAACCAGCTGTGTACGTTGCTGAATGCTTGCTGATACGTTTTGCTATTTGCTGGCAGAGCCATAGCTATATTTGTAGTAGACAAGTACTATCCTTCTTTTCTTTTCTTTTTTATGAGAACATGTATGTTGTTTTGGGTTAGCACACGAAGCCCCCGTATGCTAGCTACCTAATTTGCAAATCCGGGATAGTTATCATATCTTTGTCCGAGTTTAAATGAGTTGGCTAACGTTAGCTAGCCAGTTTGAGTTGAAACATTATTGAAAGCAATCTGGCTACATCCTATGATTAGCAAGCTAGTATCCAAGTGCCTGCCCTGTATTGACCGTAAACGCCATTGGGCTACAGTTAGCTGTTGTTAGCAAGGTAGCTAGCTAACGTGAGCAATGCACATCTTCCTCTGACATGCTACATCACATTACACTTGATGTATTTAGCTAGCTACAGTATCATTACCCTTTCATCTGGTATCATAGCGAGCCTGACTCGCTAGCACTATCGAATAATGTTGTATAACCAAAAGCAGCTACTAGCTAGCTGGTACCAGCTATCTACTTAGCTAATGTACTCACCAACACCAGTGGTTTGACGGTTGACAGGCAGCAGACGTGACCATGTTGGATGTAATCCATTCCTGGCCATCTGGCAATATTGTTGAAATGCATTGGAAGTTTGCACCATCTTTATGGAAGCCCGTTTTCACTCATTTTTGCTGAGGGGGCTGGGGGCGGACCACAATGTGTTGTCTCTGGGCAATTGGGCATTATTCGCAATAGTAGCCATGTAAGTAATCCATACCCAAGTCATGACGAACTCGCTTACAAAACTTTGACACAAATTATCCTATTTACACTTTTGTAGTAAATTGTGACACTATTATTAATCTTTCTGACTCATATCGATGCCACATAGGCTGTTTTAAACCCGGAGAAGTTGGTTCTAAGCGGCAGTTGATTGTTAACAGCATAGTTTTAGATTAGCATCCCTATCCTTGTCCTGGCTCAGCCAGTGCCTAGCCTAGCAAAACCTAGCAGAGTTTAGCATCCTTATCCCTATCCCCGTATCTCTATCTCTATCTTGGCCAGTGCTGCTTGGCTAATACTAACGCAAATGCTAATAGTCTGTGTAATCCAGCCAGTCATTTGCCCGGGCAGCCTCCAACCCTGGCCCAGCCTCAGTCAGTGCAATGCCTTGCATTGCAATCACCCCCCCCCCCCCCCCCAGGGCTTAATACCCCCAGAGCGCAGTGCAGAGCCGGAGTGCTTGAGTTACCACTCACCAGCCAGCCTGTAATATTGCAACACACACGTGCGAACGTGCATGCACACAATACAGGCAGACACGCACACAAGGCAGACACGCACACAATACACTGTTCTTCAACTGGGTATAATAATAATAATAATATGCCATTTAGCAGACGCTTTTATCCAAAGCGACTTACAGTCATGCGTGCATACATTTTTGTGTATGGGTGGTCCCGGGGATCGAACCCACTACCTTGGCGTTACAAGCGCCGTGCTCTACCAGCTGAGCTACAGAGGACCACATAGGTCTAACTGACTGTAATCTCAGGTGTAACTGATAGACTCACTGTCGTCATGGGCGGGACCAGCAGGGGGTTAGTGACAACTAATGTGCTCTAATCAACTGGGCTAATTGAACTAGGTGTGTGTGTGCGTGCGTGTTATGCGTTTCACCCTCTCCACATTTTTACATTCCCACATTTAGCTAAAGGTAATGTTATTAAATAATTTATGCCACAAACACTGGACACTTTTATTCGAAGTGACATACAGTACAATGAATGCACTGTATACATTTGGTGTATGTATGTGATCCCTGTGGGAATTGAACCCACGTCCTTGCCCACTTAGCTACTCACTGAACTTGTCCAATAAGAAACTCTTGTTTTCATTAGCAAACTTGTGTGGAATAATGAACAACCCCCCCGTTTCCCTCCCTTTCTCTCAGGTACTGGCTGGCCACCTACTTTGTCATCTGGTACGGCGTGCCCTACATGACATACGATATCTACGCCATGTACCTCAGCCACTACTACCGCTTCCGGGTCAAGGGCCACGAGGAGTATAAGGAGCACTCGTTGACCACGGTCAACTCGTTTGTCCGCCGCGAGTTCCTGCTGGTGCTCCACCACATCGCGCTGCTCACCATCCTGCTGCCCGTCACCCTGGTCAGTAACTAACACACACACACACACACACACACACACACACACACACACACTGACTCTCGCACCTCAGTCTCATGCCTCTCTTGTCCTTGCCTCTGCCCGTCACCCTGGTCAGTAGCAACGCACACACACTACCATGGGCTGACAGTACTTTTGACCAGGAAAAATTGGCAGGTTTTGGATGCCCTGCTGACCATTCTGCTGCCTGTCACCGATGAGAGGGAGAGGAAAGGGGGAGAGAAGAAGGGGAGAGTGATAGTGATATGGCCCTTCTGACCATTGTGCTGTCAATCACTGTGGTGAGAGAGAACAGAGAGGGAAAGGAAGGAGAGATGGAAGGGAGGGAGGAGGGAGATGCCCTGCTGACCATTCTGCTGCCTGACATTGAGAGGGAGGGAACGGGGGAGGGTGGATAGAGGGGAAGAGAAAAAGGATGAGTGGGGAGTGATAGAGAGGGAGGCGAGGCTAAGAGGGAGAGAGATTGCACTAACCCTATTTGGCAAGTGCTTTGAAAATGGAACGAGGCAGAGAGTGTGTGAAAGAGACCTGTGTGAAGACCGACTAGCTGAAATGTTCCTCTCCTATTAGTTTTCATTACATTGTCTTCCCGTCAACTGCATTTTCAGTCAAGAACACTAGCTAATATCCACATAATGACAGATGAGTGTATAATGACAATAATCGAGAGCGAACACACCTCACACCTACACCAGGGTTTCCGTTAGGAAAATGTGGCGCCAGACAATTATGGTAATATGACCGGGAAGATTTAAATTTACCGGACATTTTAGAAATTTACCGGACCAATATGCATTGGGTGCATAACCCATGGTGCTCAGAATGACAGAAATCACAATTAGATTATGGTAATGCATCTTAACAGAACATTCAACTCATGTAATGAAGCAGCCAATAAAACGTCATTTTCAAACATTTGCCAAAATGCAATTTGCGGGAAAACACCATTCTAAACAGCACACCTGATAGCGGTTTCATATGTGATAGAGATGAAAATCTCTGTTAGAAACTTAGAAAGAGGGGGAATCTAAAGATGCAACAACTAGGATACAGTGGGGGAAAAAAGTATTTAGTCAGCCACCAATTGTGCAAGTTCTCCCACTTAAAAAGATGAGAGAGGCCTGTAATTTTCATCATAGGTACACGTCAACTATGACAGACAAAATTAGGAAAAAAAATCCAGAAAATCACATTGTAGGATTTTTTATGAATTTATTTGCAAATTATGGTGGAAAATAAGTATTTGGTCAATAACAAAAGTTTCTCAATACTTTGTTATATACCCTTTGTTGGCAATGACACAGGTCAAACGTTTTCTGTAAGTCTTCACAAGGTTTTCACACACTGTTGCTGGTATTTTGGCCCATTCCTCCATGCAGATCTCCTCTAGAGCAGTGATGTTTTGGGGCTGTCGCTGGGCAACACAGACTTTCAACTCCCTCCAAAGATTTTCTATGGGGTTGAGATCTGGAGACTGGCTAGGCCACTCCAGGACCTTGAAATGCTTCTTACGAAGCCACTCCTTCGTTGCCCGGGTGGTGTGTTTGGGATCATTGTCATGCTGAAAGACCCAGCCACGTTTCATCTTCAATGCCCTTGCTGATGGAAGGAGGTTTTCACTCAAAATCTCACGATACATGGCCCCATTCATTCTTTCCTTTACACGGATCAGTCGTCCTGGTCCCTTTGCAGAAAAACAGCCCCAAAGCATGATGTTTCCACCCCCATGCTTCACAGTAGGTATGGTGTTCTTTGGATGCAACTCAGCATTCTTTGTCCTCCAAACACGACGAGTTGAGTTTTGACCAAAAAGTTCTATTTTGGTTTCATCTGACCATATGACATTCTCCCAATCCTCTTCTGGATCATCCAAATGCACTCTAGCAAACTTCAGACGAGCCTGGACATGTACTGGCTTAAGCAGGGGGACATGTCTGGCACTGCAGGATTTGAGTCCCTGGCGGCGTAGTATGTTACTGATGGTAGGCTTTGTTACTTTGGTCCCAGCTCTCTGCAGGTCATTCACTAGGTCCCCCCGTGTGGTTCTGGGATTTTTGCTCACCGTTCTTGTGATCATTTTGACCCCACGGGGTGAGATCTTGCGTGGAGCCCCAGATCAAGGGAGATTATCAGTGGTCTTGTATGTCTTCCATTTCCTAATAATTGCTCCCACAGTTGATTTCTTCAAACCAAGCTGCTTACCTATTGCAGATTCAGTCTTCCCAGCCTGGTGCAGGTCTACAATTTTGTTTCTGGTGTCCTTTGACAGCTCTTTGGTCTTGGCCATAGTGGAGTTTGGAGTGTGACTGTTTGAGGTTGTGGACAGGTGTCTTTTATACTGATAACAAGTTCAAACAGGTGCCATTAATACAGGTAACGAGTGGAGGACAGAGGAGCCTCTTAAAGAAGAAGTTACAGGTCTGTGAGAGACAGAAATCTTGCTTGTTTGTAGGTGACCAAATACTTATTTTCCACCATAATTCGCAAATAAATTCATTAAAAATCCTACAATGTGATTTTCTGGATTATTTTTTCTCAATTTGTCTGTCATAGTTGACGTGTACCTATGATGAAAATTACAGGCCTCTCTCATCTTTTTAAGTGGGAGAACTTGCACAATTGGTGGCTGACTAAATACTTTTTTTCCCCACTGTAGGTTGCTAATATGACTAGGATTTTGCCTTCGGCTTCTGGACATGAAATAAAGTTGATATGAAAACCAATAGAACAGGAGAGAAATGGCATAGTGGTGGGTCCAATAGGGAAGTATATAATTACTCCTGTCTATACAGAAATAAATAAATACATTCAAAATACTTCACCAGAAAGTATGACTTAGCCACAGAGGAATCGAGGATCATTAGCCCACAATTTGGGCAGCGTGCGTGGCAATAGGCCTAGCTGATTATTGAGTTGCGGCTGTCAGTGAAAAGCATCTAAAATATGTGTGAAGATAGTGTCTTGAGAATAATTTGAAATGTTGAGACAAGAAGGGGAGGGGTGTGTGGGGAAGATATAGGCTAGGCGAATCTCTCTCCAGAATGGCTGGGCTGTCTCCTGCCAATTCTTGCGCATTCATTGTTTCATTGTGTGAATTGTTTGCCCTTACATTTTTTATCAATTCCCCATTACATATGTCACCAGTAGTAAATGTAGCATTAATCTCCGTTATTTGGTTACATACATTTCTGTTAATGCATGTAATAATTAGTCATTTACTGTTCTCATTCTCGGAGTGGAAACGTTGTTTGCAGAGTTTACAACCTGCTACACTTGTGAGAAACAAGTTTTTTGGTTTATTTCATAACCATCATTTACGAGATTTCTTTTGTTTTGGAGTGCTCCATGTGAGCAATGAGCATGTGTCTGTTTTCCTCTGTCCTGATAATGTTGAGGGAGCGCGGAAATCTAATTAGCATAAGAAAATCCCCATGAGAATCTGTCAATTTAAGATAGAGATGTCTGTTTTTCTATGTTGCACTTCTGCATCTGCAGTGAAAGGTGACAGAGCTAGAGCGGTGTTTGTCAAACCATGAGACATCCCGAAAATCGGTCTTCTCACAAAATCATCTGTAGCGTCCAAATGGTTTGGCCTAAAAAAAATATGACCCCTCTATGGAAAGATTACTCTCACGAACACGATGGTGTTCTCCACAAATGTCAGAAGACTTGTCTGAAGTCGGTATTGCCAATCTGCCAACTTCTGTCTGTAGCGTCCTAACCGCTTGGGCCACTAATATGACCCCTCTGTGCAAAGGTGAGACTCTCACATACATGTTCATGTCGGTTGTTTTGCTCTAGGACGCCAACAGGCCTCTCAAGACTCGTCTGAAGATCCTCCGGTACCAGTTGAAAGAATGTATGGAAGTACAGTATATATGGAGACTGTTTAATAGGGTTAAATACATGTAAAATATATATATATACACTACCGGTCAAAGGTTTTAGAACACCTACTCATTCAAGGGTTTTTCTTTATTTTTACAATTTTCTACATTGTAGAATAATAGTGAATACATCAAAACTATGAAATAACACATATCGAATCATGTAGTAACCAAAAAAGTGTTAAACAAATCAAAATATATTTGAGATTTGAGATTCTTCAAATAGCCACCCTTTGCCGTGATGACAGCTTTGCACAATCTTGGCATTCTCTCAACCAGCTTCATGAGGTAGTCACCTGGAATGCATTTCAATTAACAGGTGTGCCTTCTTAAAAGTTCATTTGTGGAATTTCTTTCCTTCTTAATGCATTTGAGAAAATCTGTTATGTGGGTATACAGAAGATAGCCCTATTTGGTAAAAGACCAAGTACATATTATGGCAAGAACAGCTCAAATAAGCAAAGAGAAATGACAGTCCATCATTACTTTAAGACAAGAAGGTCAGTCAATACGGAATATTTCACAAAAACCATCAAGCACTATGATGAAACTGGCTCTCATGAGGACCGCCACAGGAATGGAAGACCCAGAGTTACCTCTGCTGCAGAGGATAAGTTAGCCTCAGAAATTGCAGGCCAAATAAATGCTTCACAGAGTTCAAGTAACAGACACATCTCAACATCAACTGTTCAGAGGAGACTGCGTGAATCAGGCCTTCATGGTCGAATTGCTGCAAAGAAACCACTACTAAAGGACACCAATAAGAAGAGGAGACTTGCTTGGGCCAAGAAACACGAGTAATGGACATTAGACCGGTGGAAATGTGTCCTTTGGTCTGGAGTCCAAATTTGAGATTTTTGGTTCCAACAGCCGTGTGTTCAGTGTGGGTGAACGGATGATCTCTGCATGTGTATTTCCCACCGTAAAGCATGGAGGAGGAGGTGTTATGCTGTGGGGGTGCTTTGCTGGTGACACTGTCTATGATTTATTTAGAGTTCAAGGCACACTTAACCAGCATGGCTACCACAGCATTCTGCAGCGATACGCCATCCCATCTGGTTTGGGCTTAGTGGGAATATCAATTGTTTTTCAACAGGACAATGACCCAACACACTTCCAGACTGTAAGGGCTATTTTACCAAGAAGGAGAGTGATAGAGTGCTGCATCAGATGACCTGGCCTCCACAATCCCCCGACCTCAACCAAATTGTGATGGTTTGGGATGAGTCGGACCGCAGAGTGAAGGAAAAGCAGCCAACAAGTGCTCAGCATATGTGGGAACTCCTTCAAGACTATTGGAAAAGCATTCCAGGTGAAGCTAGTTGAGAGAATGCCAAGAGTGTGCAAAGTTGTCATCAAGGCAAAGGGTGGCTACTTTGAAGAATCAAAAATCTATTTTGATTTGTTTAACACTGTTTTGGTTACTACATGATTCCATATGTGCTATTTCATAGTGTTGATGTCTTCACTACTATTCTACAATGTAGAAAATAGTAAGAATAAAGAAAAACCCTTGAATGAGTAGGTGTGTCCTAACTTTTGAATGGTAGAGTGTATGAATGTATGTTTCCTGATCTTTCGTATACCTCTCAGATACAGAAGTGACACTTCAGAACAAACTTCCTTTTGATATTTTTTGGGGACTATCTGTTGTTTTTTGTAGTGAATCTATTGTTCAATGCATTTGTATGGGCTAATAGCAGTAATGCCAAAAATGTTTTTTCATCAAATATTTTTTTAATATATTTTTTAATACTCAAAATCAAATAGCTAAATGATCCTTGGTATGACCTTCTTAAAACAATTCAATATAGCTTAGTAGAACCCCAGGGGCTTAGACTCTTATGGGTTAAGATCTATTGCGAATGATAATATTTAAACTATAATTCCTCATAGTAAACTATTTGAACAATCTTTCCAACAATCTCCCCCTCTAATCACCTATCCTCAATGTGAATAAGCAGTGGAAGTTCTAGGCCTACTGCTACATTGGCCTATAGGCTATGAGTTCCATGCGCTCATTTCTATAGCCGCCAATGGATGACGGTTTATCAATGTGTCCCTATGGCAGAGGCTGGTGATCTCGCATTAGTTGACTTTAAGATTTGTATCATTTTAATTACAAGCATAACTGTCACGCAGAATGAAAAGCATAACTGGCACGCAGAATGGTAGAAATGGTAGGATAAATTCTAATTTAAAAATTAAGTATGTTTTCAAATTGCATACTGCCTCCAGCTCACATTGTGAAGTGGTGGGTGACTCACTGATAGCCTGTTGCCTGCACTTGAATGGGAGGCTAGCTTTAATTACAAGTTGAGAAATAACAATAATAGCTCTTTTTAATTTTGCACCAAAACAGTTTTCAGCACGCAGTTGCATTTAGAATTGTTGCGTAATTAATGGGCTTTTAAAAGCACGTTTTACTCCAGCAGCAACCAGCTGAGGAGCTGCAGGAGAAATCCCGCTCAAAATATGCTGTGCTAGTGTGATAGTTGTTTAATAAATAAGATACATGATGACTAACGAAATGTAATTCCACTACATTATGCAAATTATATGTACCGAAAAGCATGAAGGTCAAATGTATTTACATCAATGAATAAAAAGCATTCGTTTGTTTGGGATTTATTTTCTGCCGGTCGTTCTGGCCGGCAACAGATTTATTTATAGGCTTTTCATTTTGTTATTGGCCAAAGGAAACCCTGACCTATACACACAAGTGTCGCATTAGCGTCCATTTCATGTAGAGAGGAGGCCAAGTGCATTGGAAACCTGGCATCTTAGTTTTCAGCGGCTTTCAATGGTGATATGAGATCACCTTACACTACACCTCCATTATTCAGGCTCCAGCTGCTGTGATCCTCCTCTCATCTCCTCCTCCCTTGCTCCCTGCTTCGTTCCCCTCCCACACAGTCAGGTAACACACACACAGAGGCCGGGTCCAGCAGCCAGGTACAGGGGGTAGGTAGGTGTAGTGTTACATGGCAGTAGTTTGTGCTGCCGGTAATTCTTCCATTGGGCAGATGGCAGAGCTGGTGTCTGGGCCCCACACACTACTGGTTTATTCATCATCACAACACACACAGAGCCCTCTCGGTTTGGCATCCTCCCTATTGCAGCTTACATCAATGATCCTCCATACATTTACTAATTTACTCATCGTGATCTATTCTCTTACATTACCTTAACGTCTGGGCTTATGGCATAAGTCTGGGTCGTGTTCATTAGTGCACGCAACGGAAAGCTTTTGCCACGAAATGTGAGTGTTTCTTGTTGGAAAAGTTCAGGTAGTTCCTCCCAGTTTCAGTTAATTTTCTTCTGTTTGGTGCCTGATGAACCTGACCCTGGGCCTGGTTTGTCCTCTGTTGGCCAAGTTGGTTTGTGGCCATGTTGGTGTTATTGAGCCGGGTCCTGACTCCTGTTTTTGTATGTGCAGACCTAGGGACAATCCATTTGCTTACACAGCCTTTCTGTACTAAAGTACTGAGGGTTGTTTTGGGTGGGTGGGTGTTCCTGTGTGTGTGACGGTTCTCTTTGTGTGGGTGTGTGGCGGTATGGTCTTGTTTCAGATTGTAGTAACTGTGTGCCGTCTCCCTCCCTGTGCCTTTCAGTTCTTCAGGAGGGACCAGGGCGATTACTTCATCGGATGCCTGTTCCTCACAGAGCTCAGCACGCCCTTCGTCTCCTTAGGGAAGATCCTCATCCAGGTGAGAGAGAGAGACACACACACACACACACATTAGAACACCCTAATCGCCACTTATAACAACCATGTATACACACCAAGGTTTCCGTTAGCCTGTAATAGCCGGCTTTTGGCCGATAATTCTTTTTAAAGAGAAAAGTCAACTAAATAACATTTGCACCGGCCAATTGTCCGGGAGAAGAAAAAATCCCATTGCGAAGTAATGCTTTATAGCCTATTCATTGATGGAAATACCAGTCGATGGAAATACATTTGACTGGTCATGCTTATCGGTCTATGGGTTAATTTGCATAATTGAGTGGAATGAATTAATTGAGTGGAAAATCGGTCAGACAGCGCGAGAGCTGCTGCTACAGCATCTCATAATGAAAATGCATAGGCAACGGAAGGCAGGCTTCATCAGCATGTCACACACCACTTTGCAATGAGCTGGAGGCAGTAAACATTTTGAAAACATGTATACATAATTGTTTGAAACCTGAACGTTTTACTACATATTGAGGCATGTCTTACCTTGCTTCAAAGTAGCCTAGCCAAAATCAGGCCATATCCGTGGACGCAAATATTTCATATCAACTTTCTAACATTGTCCAGTAGCCAAAGGCACAATCCTAGTCATATTAGCAACCCGTGCTAGTTGTTGCATATTAGCTCTCCCCTCTTAAAAAATTACAGATATTTCAATCTCTGTCAAATGAAACCGCTCGCATGTGCGATGCACTTTAGACAACAGTGTTTTCCCACTAATTACATTATGGAACAAACTTTCGGACGTAGCCTAATGCCTTGTGCACAGTGCTGAGCTTATAATGTGAAGAAATAATAGTTCATCAACATACAGTAGAAAGCTAAACATTCTGTTGCATCAGACTCATTGCTTAACAAATCATATTGTAGCCTACTGGTTGTATGAATCTGGGACCTATCATCCTACAACTGTCCCAGAGTGTTAGGAATAGGCTATTTCTTTATCGACAAGCTGACCAATAGAATAGGTAAACTTTTCTACTATTGGGGATAGTAGACTCTCATAGGCTAGTACTTTTGCTGTTCATTACTTGTCTTGTTGGCTGAGGAAAATATCTTCAAAGTGCACATCAGAATTAGGTAAGAATCGTTGCATCCCCAACTTGTATGTTCTGTTAATATGAATTACAATAATCTAAATGTGATTTCTGTCATTCTGAGCACCAATGGGTGGACGCCCTAATCAGGTTACGCACCCTATGCATATGGGTCCGGTAAATTAAAATGCTGCTGGTCAAATGTCCGGCGCCACATTTTCCTAACGGAAACCCTGATACCAATATCTCCACCAATCAATGTATATACAGGTAACTGCCAAAAATAAAGGAAACGCTTGAGTAAATGAGGGATACAAAGTATATTGAAAGGAGGTGCTTGCACACAGTTGTGGTTAATTAAGCAATTAAAACACACCATTATGCTTAGGGTCATGTATAGAAATTCCCAGTTGCCCATTATTTTGGCTACCAGGCTAGAAGTGATCTTAGTGACTTTGAAAGAGGAGTCCCAAAGGAGCGTAGGGGGTTCAAAGGGTGTGTGTCTGTCATCGGATCTCAACCCAATTGAGATTCAGCGGCGCCTGAGACAGCGTTTTCCACCACCATCAACAGAACACCTAATGATGGAATTTCTTGTGGTAGAATGGTGTTGCATCCCTCCAATAGAGTTCCAGATACTTGTAGAATCTATGCCAAGGCGTGTTGAAGCTGTTCTGGCAGCTTTGGTGGCTCATGGTGGCCCCACGCCCTCTTAAGACACTTTTATGTTGGTGTTTCCTTTATTTTCGCAGTTACCTGTATGTACTTGTATCCATACAGCTTCTCACTAAATAAACATTCCTGGTATAATGTGTATGTGTGTATCACTAAAAGAGCTAAGAGCAGTGAGCAGGCAGCCTGCTTGGTCTCCAGCTCACTTTCTGCTGACTTCTGGCTCTTTATTCAGTAGGGCCACGCTCTGCTCTCTTACTCAGTGTCCTCTGGTGGACTGGCCGGGTACTGCAGAGCCACTGTCACGCCACACAAGACCACACATGGGCACTGTTAGAATGCCTCTTTCCCTTCCTGTAATGGTGTATCTATCAACTAATCTACCATGATGCATGGGTACCACTTCATAGCTTTCACCAGTCCAGTCGTGTCAGATCAGTGATTGCATCATGGAAAGGAGGAAGGAAGGAAGAATGTATTTTCAAAGTAATCGAACAGGTCCAGGGATTCCAGCCCAGTTTTATGCTCACTTAGAATTTCAAGACTGTTCGACCATATAATGACCTGTTTTCTCCCTCTTTGTCTCCTTTCAATATTCTCCCAACACCCCCCCCCCCCCCCCTCCCCCCATCCTCCTCTCCTCTTGTTTCTCACAGCTGGGTCTGCAGGACTGCTGGGTCCACAAGGCCAATGGGGGCATGGTGCTGCTCAGCTTCTTCCTGTGTCGAATCGCCCTCTTTCCCTACATGTACTGGGTGTATGGCCGCCACTACGGCATCCCCGTCTACGGCGTGCCCTTCCACCTGACACTGTTGGTCAACCTGGGCAACCTGTGCATCCTGGCACCACAGGTCTACTGGTTCGTGCTGCTCTGCCGCAAGGGCTGGCGGCTCTACCAGCGCCAGTGTCACTCCACCGCCGCCGCCGGCAGCCAGGACTCCTCCCCCCCTCCCTCACCTAGCCCCCCCTCCCTCACGGACAACCAACCCAAGGGAAATCATTAGAGCTGGAGAGCTCACTCTGTCACCATCGCACTCTCTCTGTTCTTTCTCGGTTCTCTCTACTCTATATGTGCTCGAGTCACACAAAAACGAACCACCATCGACTACTACTTACTACTACCACTGCAAAAGCACTACGGCTACTTACCACAGTCTCCCCAAAAATACTACTACTACTTCTACTACTACTATCGTTACTACTATGATTACACTAGTACTGCTACTGCTCCTCCTCCCCCTGAGCCCCCACCCCCTCCTCCCCTTTGCTTCAATACTACTGATCGCTCCACCCCATGCCCATCCAAGCTCTACTCTTTTAGCTCTTCATTGGGGTTTTTACCCCTACCCCCCACACCCCTCTGCTTGGATTAGAGGGATTGGACAGGGGTTATATTTGGAGTGCTACACTGGAGTTTCCCTAAAAGATATGAAGAAGACAGAGAATGGAGCTCCTGGCTTTTTTCGGAGGGGGGGGGGGGGTGGTGCTGAGACACTCCCCCGGCCCCTCCCCTTCATCTATTACTAGCTCTGCTGATTGGAGGATCGGTTACAGTGTAGATGAATGTGTCTGTAGAATTAGTTGAATTATTTTGTTTGTCAATTATTTTTATGTGTCAAGTTCTGAAGAGTCCCATTTTATGAAGTGTTTGTCCACCCACCCAGTCCTCATCTTTAAAAGACCGCCGGCGGGAGAGGAGGAGAAGCGGAGAAGGGGACTTGGCATTTCAGATAGAAATAGTGACAAGGCTGGGTGGTGGGACAAGGGCTGGAGGGATGGGAGGGGGTGTTTACAAACTAAGATAGGTACGGGTGTCACCTCATCTACATTTGAAGGAGAAAATGAAAAATAAATGTTTGCACCAGCATAGCTACACAAAAACCCATTTAATGTGATTGGATTTTGGAACTCCACCCTCCTTTATCCACCTCAGCGCCTCCCATTGTCCTGTTTCCTCATTCTCCGTGGCCGCCGCCGCTGGCCAATCGGCACGCCTGCAGCACTCCAGTCCTCCTCCTTTGTTGTTTACGGCCCAACAGGATTCCCAACAGCTATGCTGTGGCCCTCTGTAGCTCAGCTGGTAGAGCACGGCGCTTGTAACGCCAAGGTAGTGGGTTCAATCCCCGGGACCACCCATACACAAAAATGTATGCACGCATGACTGTAATTCGCTTTGGATAAAAGCATCTGCTAAATGGCATATTATTATTATTATTATTATTCTGTGTGCTGTACTGCTGCCCTGCTGCGTCTGTTTACATTAAGTCTTTAAGCCCCGCCCCTCAGTGTCACACAGGGTGGGGCATCACAAGCTAGGAGCCTCTCTCTATATTTTGTGCTGTGTCCTCCCTGCCTAAAGGGGGCGGCTTAGCAAAAGCTTTGTCCGTATGTTTACACACACAGGACTTCTCTGGGAGCGCTGCAGCAGCATTAGAAGGAATGGGATTGCTCGTTTAGTCCCGGGTTCAGCTCGATTGCCACAGCAACCGCTAAAGCTGCTTTTAATGGGTGGAGACAAGACTTTACGGTCACTCAAGGTCAAGTTTGCGGGGTGGGAGTGGTGGGGTGCTTCTGTTAGGTCAATGCTGCCCTCTGGCAACGGGGTCTGGGGGCCACGTGGGAGGGGCTTGTATACCACTGGGCATCCCTTTAAGGTCACATGGTGCCCGCCATGGACCGCCCACAAGGTGCCAGTTGGAGTAATAAAATGGACGGGGTTGAAAACGGCAAGGACAATTTAAAACCCCATGTAGTAGAGATTAACCTGATGTTTAGATATAAAAACAGTAAAGTTCCTAGCATGATGCTGGAGCAGGATGATTACACAGCTGCATGCGGCCCTGCTCCAAAATTATACTCTATTTTCAAACAGAAGATTGTTGAATAGAATAAAAAATGCTTGATGGTGGCAATACACTCATTTCATGTATTCTACTTTCACTCATACCCAAATAATGCTGTTGACTCATCCTATAGTCGTATTTGTGGCCAAAGCATAAATTGGAGAAAAAACCCTTCAATAACCCCACCTCAAAATTGTATCTAGAGCTGGGATGTTAAGCAGAAAATTACCGACATTGCCTTCCTCTTACTGATGCATTTTGCTACACAACGTTTCTGTAGATTGTTCTAAAACCATTATTTGGTCAACAGTAATAGCCTATGCATTATGTTGATTCCTGCTATTAAAGTATCTGCCTGTCCCTGTTTCGCTGTCGGCTGCTGACTCCCACTGCACACGGCGGAGGAGAGATGCATTCTGAGAAGCACAAACATATGACAGTTGCTCAAAATACTATTGCGGGAAAAATACAGTTTTCAAAGCAACTACTGTTCTAGTTAGAGAGGAGACTCACAGCTTTCTGTGAGTATATAATGTATTTATCACCTCCTTAATATTGAGTTCATGGCATCACTTTACAACCGGAATAGGCTGTAATTAGTATGGTTTTGATGCAGCGGAGATGAGCGGAGCCCGCCATTTGCAGTTAATAGGCCTATATAAAGTAGCCTAGGCCTAGTGCTGGAAAGTTTTTTTTGTAGGACATTAGCCTATATTTACTGATAGTCATGTATGCCAATTGATTATTCTATCTAGCAACATTATCATATTTAGAGTTAGCAATCTAGCTGTTTTGAGTTCCCACTTCCTCAGGTGGTGATTAATATAGCCTTTAGGCCAATGTGCACAAAGATGTCGGCAAATTCTCTGAAGAGACAAAAATAAATCTGATAATTCTGGATCCTATTTTAACAGGTTACACATCAAAATATCAATCATGCGTTTCCTGGATATGTTAAATGAAATAGCTTACTTTTGTAGTCTCAGTTGTTTTACTTGGCACTGGGGGGGAAAAAATCTAGAGCCCTGCCGCTAATGTAAAGTAACTGTCCGTTAAAATTTGTTATCGAGCAATATAGTTACATTTATCGCAATATTACTTTTTGTCCATATCGCCCAGCTCTACAGACGGTTTCAAAAATGCTTGCTATTTCCACATAGAGGATGATGTCATCCTCTTGAGGAAGATGAGCTGGCCAATCAGCGTTCTGCTCGCATTAATATTTTTAATGACTGCTATACGCCCACACCATTCGGTTGTTGGGGTACGCCCACACCATTCCAACACAGAAAAGCTGCTTTTTAACATAATAAAAAAATTTGGGGAAGTACAACTATTTCACTCGTATTGTAATTAATTATAGGTCATATTTCATAGATATCTGGAAACACTGGCCAGTTACTTTAAATGTGATACATCTTATCATATTGTCCACACAACCCAAATGGCCTTGAATACTTTCCCAGAGTTTTATGTTGTTGTCTTTAACCTACTCGTCCTTAGCCTTAAAATATGAAGGCAATAGTTCTGTATAAATTAATTAAACACCGTTAACGTGTCGTTAATTATTACTAATTTACCAGTAAATTGAAGTGCTGGTTATTTTAGCCAGAGTGCCCATCCATGGCATGTGTTTATAGTGGCAACGAGGAACTGACGCTTGTTAGCATCAGTGCTGCTAGCATGGAGCACCAATCATAGGGCTGTAAATACAGGATAATAATAACTAAATATGTTTGTTTTTAGAGAATGCATTACCATATGCGCTCTAGTTTTTTATGATGACAACCTTGATAATGAGAAGCTTCTGTAGATTCTGAAGCCATCAAACTGCACCTGAGAGGTACATTAATATTACGTGTACACACACACACACACACACACTGTATTTCTGCTCAAAGGGAAGTGTGTTTGTGTGAGGACCAAAACAACAACTTTGTTTCAAACCTACATGCGCCAACCACATTTTAGCTTGAGCAAATCATTATGTTTTTAATCAATGTTATCAGGTCTTAGGCTATTTGAATAAGTATTGGGCCCTGGTCAGGATGAACCTTTGCATCAGTTACGTCAACGTTGCTCTGTCCCCTGAAGTTCTGTCTGCATGTTAGGTTGCATTTTGGGGGCTCTGCTGGCCTCTGAAGGAGACTACTGCATTGTGGGGACTTCTCTCTGTAGGCAACTGAAGCATTGTGGGGACTCTGCTCTCTTTAGGAAACTACTGCATTGTGGGGACTCTGCTCTCTTTAGGAAACTACTGCATTGTTGGTACTCTGCTCTCCTTTCTAGGGGACGGTTGCATTGTGGGGACACTGCTGTTCTCTGTAGACCCCTGCATTGTGGGGACTCAGCCGTTTTCTGCTGAGAAACACTCCAGTCCAGAACCAAACCGGGCCAGAAACCAAACCAGGCCACGGTGCTTCTGCGGCGGCGCAATGTCAAAGTGATGAGTGCACTGTGGGCTGGCTGGCAAACAGCTTGTTCTGTGAGCAAGAGCAGGGCAGAGCAGGCAGAAGGCTGGGGAAGGGAGGAAGGGAAGCTGAGTGCTGCTGCTAAATGATGGGCTTGTTTGTCTGGTTTGGCCCGGAGGCAGAGGCAAAGAGTGGCGAGGCGACGCAGCTCAGTCCAGCTCTATCAATATGCCTCGACTCAAGTGTCTATTGTCTATCTGTCTGTCTGACTGATGCGACCACGGAACTCCTTCCAGAAACATCGCAGGCCTTCTTATTGTGCGCTCTCACTCTCTTGCCCTCCCTATTTCTTTGTGTCATTCTCTCTCTCCCTTCCTGTCTCCATCTTTCTCGCTCACTCCTCGTACCCTTACTTTACATTGTCTAGACCAGCATTGGGGAACATCCCGCCCCCCTGCGCGCACACGCCACGTCTATTTCTATGGGCACAAGCACTGTTCATGACACAAACTGTTCACACCCCTCTTGTTGGTGGAGAGAATTTTGCAGGTTTAAAGCTTATTTCCTGCAATTCTACAGATTTTGTCATGGGGGTTCAAATAACATTTTGCGGTTTTAAAGCAAATTTCTGTGCAATTCTATACATTTTGCCATGTCTAATGTGTATTCATGTGATATTTGAGTGACTAAAAAATTACAACTTATATGAGCTAAAAAACGGAATAAAAAACGTTAACTGACATGGACTAGTTGATCTGGACATTTCTGCCAAGTTATAAATAGCTCTCTAAGGTCTGCAATGACTAACATGACAAGAGGAACTGATGATGCACTACCCAATTTCGAAATTGCACCTTGTGTGTTCTACTATTACAGCTCTCAAGTTTAAGTTTAAAGCCAGACTAAAGATTATGCTGACCGCAGGGTGCGCGCCCCACAGTTTGGGAACCCCTGGTCTAGACGAGCCGTCGCTGGCATCAGGTGTCCAGTCTCTCCACTCAGCAGTTCAAGAGTCCAGGGAACACAGGGTTAATTTGGCCACAGGACCATTTCCTAACGAGGCCAATCAGGCCATCATGGCGTTAAAAACGCTCGCTGGATGTGCTGCTCACAGTGACATGCCTAAAGGCCAGACTCTCCATATGTACACATGGGTTCCATCCCAACTGGCACCCTATTCCCTATATAGTGCACTACATTTGACCAGAGCCCTATTTTATTTACTGCACTTGATTTTATGTAGGCCTACTTTTAATGTAAGATGTCCTTGACT